ATAGTGCTCCAATTACGATGCGTGTCACTCCTACGTCACAGCTACTTCCTTCCGCTTCTTCCCATCTCTCCACCGCCAGCTGCGTGGTTTAGCGGCGGTAGCTAATTGAGCACATATTCTCTTTTTTCACTCCAGCATCTAAACTAGCTTGGACTAATAGCTAATACAATGTCATACCACGACGAAGAGGATGTAAGTACACATTTACTCCATCAGACATTTGTACGTTTTGACTGCAATAACAATGGCACACTGTTAGCTAGGTAGCTGTGTAGCTAGCTCGACTCCACCGGCATAGTATAACAGTGGCTTCAATGAGTTAGTGTGATATAAATTTACTCTTAAACCCTGCTTTAAGACAATGCAACCAAAAAAGTAGCTAATTGTCTGTAACTCTTTTTAGTGCATTTTTATTATTATAAAATATCACTATATAATCGATCAGGTGGTCGTTTCTCGCTGGGCAGATCAATATCAGATGCTGTAGCTGTATCAGTAACAAATGCCTGATTGCTTTGTTTCCTTACAGTACGATCCTTACTCCTACACAAACGACTACGATCTGCACACTGGTAAGTATACAAATAACCATCCCTTTTATACTCATACTATCTATTTTTACAGATACAATCCTCTTGTTTAGTCAGTCACACAACATAAGTAACTTTTAGAGCAGATTAAAGGATGTTCTTTTAATTTTCCTTGCAGGTGACCCTAAAGCAGACCTTGCCTACGAGAGGCAGTATGAGCAGCAGACCTACCATGTCATCCCAGAGGTGATCAAGAACTTTCTGCAGTATTTCCACAAAACCATCTCTGACTTGATTGACCAGAAGGTTTATGAGCTGCAGTCCAACCGGGTGTCTAGTGAGAGCATTGAGCAGAAGATCTACGAGATCCAGGACGTCTATGAAAACAGGTAAACTTAACTCTGTGCACATAACTCTCACACCGTGCGTGATCAATATGCTGACTTTTTCATGCTCTTACCTATTAAGCTGGAACAAGTTGACTGACCGTTTCTTCAAGACCTCTCCCTGGCCAGAGGCTGAGGCCATCGCATCACTTGTTGGCAATGGTGAGAGCGTTATCCATTACTTGTTCTACTTTTGATTTTGTATGGATAGTATCATTTTTATTCTTTATTGTTTGAGTGTGATTTTAAAAAAAAAAAGATAAACTTGCACCGCTTAAGATTATTATTATTTATTTTATATATTTAAGATTTTATAAGAGTTTTAGGCCTCCTTTGTGTGGTTCAGTGGAGATGTTTCATGTTGTTTTTGTCTCTTGTGTTTTGCAGATGCCGTGTTTCTCATTCTCTACAAAGAACTCTATTACAGACACATCTACGCTAAAGTCAGCGTGAGTAGCTGCTAAATATGAACAGTCGTCTGTGTCTTTTTTATCACTGTCCAAAAAACTTTCTAGAATTTGGTTGGAAAAAAATATTTTCTGTATAATCAGGGTGGACCAACTTTGGACCAGAGATTTGAGTCCTACTACAATTACTGCAACCTCTTCAACTACATTCTCAGTAAGGAGCACATATTGTCCATACATTTTCTCTGATCCGTTAGTGCAAGAACAGCAGCTATATGAGATCATTGTTGACTCTAAACAGATGCTGATGGGCCGGCCCCCTTGGAGCTGCCAAACCAGTGGCTCTGGGACATCATTGATGAGTTTATCTACCAGGTACATTACAGTGTTTTTAGAGTGCATGCTCAACAATCAATAAGATCCAAATAAAGAAAAGGGCTGATAGCTGTTGTTGTTAATGTTATCATTACTTTAAGCACCAGATAGGTGACATATTAATGAAGATATTCATGGTCTTTAATGATCACTAGTCCACGTGGCTAGAAAGCATATTTAAAATCCACTAACAAACATCTCTTCCACCTTCAGTTTCAGTCGTTCAGTCAGTACCGCTGTAAGACAGCCAAAAAGTCTGAGGAGGAAATTGAGTTCCTGAGGAGCAACCCGAAGATCTGGAACGTCCACAGTGTCCTCAATGTTCTCCACTCCCTGGTGGACAAGAGCAACATCAACCGTCAGCTTGAGGTCTACACAAGTGGAGGTAAAGAAGAGTGTTTTTATGATATTTATAGAAACAATGGAGTATTCATAGAAACCTAATTATTTTAAAATCTTGAATTATGTCAATTTAAGGCTTTAGAGTCCAGGACTGTATAGGTCGTGAACATGTTATGTGTTCTTGTAATGCAGGAGACCCAGAAAGCGTGGCTGGAGAATATGGACGTCACTCTCTGTACAAGATGTTGGGTTACTTCAGCTTGGTCGGGCTTTTGAGGCTTCACTCTCTGCTTGGTGACTATTACCAGGCCATCAAAGTCCTGGAGAACATTGAGCTCAATAAGAAGGTACGACCTTATTTAAGACCTCATGTAGAGAGAGGTCTGGTCTGCTCCCACTAGTGATGATGAGCGCTGGGATTGAGTGTCATTATGGAAATGTGTTGTTGGTGTTGTTTCCTCTTGTCCTAGAAGGATTGATACAATGCTGACAGATACTGATGTTTTTAATTTAAAACAAACAAACGATATTCTCCGAGGATTCTTGTGATAATTTGACTCGACACAGTTTCTGCTTTATCAGTCTTTATGCTCATGAAATTTAATGTGGGCAAAGTGAAGTTGCAGTAAAAAAGAAGGAACTCATTAATTTACCTGACACATTAACAATGAATAACTATTATAATACTTTATAAAGTAAATACATAATTCACAGTTCTCAGTTCTTCAGTAGCACGGAGTCATATAATTCATTTCATCTCAGAGTTTAAAGTTTCTATTAAATCAACCTTTGTAGCAACAAATAAAGTTTGGCTGATCTGTTGAAATTAAACATTAAAAAATGACACTGCTCATTTTCTCTGTAATTCATATTTCTGCATATTTTTTTTTCTCCCTATCTTTCAGAGTATGTACTCGCGTGTTCCAGAGTGCCAAATCACCACATATTACTATGTGGGTTTTGCCTACCTTATGATGAGGCGCTACCAGGATGCCATTCGAGTCTTTGCTAACATCCTGCTCTATATCCAGAGAACAAGAAACATGTTCCAGAGGTCAACGTATAAATATGAGATGGTCAGTAACAGCAGTGGTTTTATTGTCTTATCTTTAGCTGTAGGTTCTTTTACTTATGTCTGTACAGAACGTGGTGAGAGAACTTCAGACAGCAACATTTGGGATGCGCTGATTTTCTTTAAAATGCTTTGACATGTGAATAATAATCAGGCACTCTCATTGTGTTGGATGATCAAACAGTATTATGTTTGGAACAGGTGTCATAATACCTGTATGTTTTCTTCAGATTAACAAACAAAATGAGCAGATGCACGGCCTGCTGGCTATCGCTCTGACCATGTACCCGATGCGCATCGACGAGAGCATCCACACCCAGCTGAGGGAGAAGTACGGAGATAAGATGCTCCGCATGCAAAAGGGGTAAGACCTACACTCACTGCCTTGCTTTACAACATGTTTAAGTTGTGAGTCAGTCCTTTTCTGTTTTACTGTTATGATTTTGTATTATGTAGAATGTTATATAAAGTGTGGAGCTTTGCTTATGGGATATGGAATCAGTAATGTATGACTTTATTAGCATTTGTGCTCATAGCCTCAAACATTTCTTTTGATGCAAATGTTACTTTTACCATCTCAGAGATCTGCAGGTGTTCGAGGAGCTGTTCAGCTTTGCCTGTCCCAAGTTCTTGTCACCTGTAGTGCCAAACTACGACAACGTCCACCCGAACTACCACAAAGAACCTTTTCAACAGCAGTTGAAGGTCTTTGCTGAGGAGGTGCAGCAGCAGGCCCAGCTCTCCACCATTCGAAGGTGAGTCCCCCAACTTGTGAGTATGTGGAGGTTGTAGTTTTACCTGTAAAAGCTGGAGTAATGTACAAAAATATCCTGAATCTCCTCCAAACGTTTTGCCACACTTTACATATTTAAATCCTTTACATGAACTATTAGATTGTGTCTGAGTGCTTATACATGTCATCTAAGTCACAATATGTCATTGTAGCTTCTTGAAGCTGTACACCACCATGCCAGTAGCCAAGCTGGCCGGATTTCTGGACATGACAGAGCAGGAGTTCCGCATTCAGCTGCTCGTCTTCAAACACAAGATGAAGAATCTGGTGTGGACCAGCGGCATCTCAGCGCTGGACGGAGAGTTCCAGTCTGCGTCTGAGGTCGACTTTTACATTGACAAGGTGAACATCTTTTAAATGAAAGTGCTCTTTTTGATGTTTCTGTGCTGCTGTTTAAATAGCATGTCACAGGGCTGGATGGCTCTGAGGAATGCCTCAGGTGTTTAGTTTGGGTAAAATTAAGCATAAGATTTAAATTAAGTTTTACAGAAGTTAGATATGTGGATGTGGCTTGTTGTACTTTATATTTGATGGCATTTTCCCCACAGGACATGATCCACATTGCCGACACCAAAGTCGCTCGTCGGTATGGAGACTTTTTCATCAGACAGATCCACAAGTTTGAGGAGGTAAGCAATCGTCCATAATGCCTCTGAATGGGAAAATATTTAATATGTTTCAGATGCTAACTATTACAAGGTGTAACAATCTAATTTGAATATTAAAAGTTTGGAAATTAAACAGTTGTCTCTAATATTAAAATTAAAAACATCACCTGCTCCTTTGGTTTGCCCCGCACTGAAAAGATTTTGAATACAGGACTAATGATCACTTCTTGTGTCCCTACAGTTGAACAGGACTCTGAAGAAGATGTCAACCACTGCTACCACTGTGACATCAGGAACCGCTACAGGCCGATGAGACATCACATCACGTCTTCTAATGCCTCCTTCCAGTTTTTTGACAGCTATTATTAATGAAAAATTTTCTATGTAATCTAATAACAATAAAAGGATGGATTGGAGTGCAAACTAATTACTTGTATGTTTTTGCTCCCTAATACCAGGTGTGTTCCACTAGGAGGCAGTATTTACCACCTCACCACAGTTGCTAAGTCTTCTTTTGTAGTGTTATGTTCCTACTTAAGCTTTTGTTTGCGGGTAGAACAGACGTCAACTGTGAGGTAACTGGGGGACTAATATTTAGGTTTATTAATGTTTATTTTCAGATTCCCAAGCTTTTTGTTCCTGCCTGAGCTCGTTCTGCTGCATCAGACACCAGACATATGGCAACATCTATTGAGGTCAGAGGCCATTGCATAAGTCTTTTTATTACCACAGACCATCCCACAACATTTCCCAACACAGATCTCAGGGCTGGTGACAAAAATGACAAAGAAATAAAAACTTACAAAATGGGAATATAAAAAATCATTATTTTTTAAAACACACCACTCATCAGAAACAGCATTAGTTGTCCTGCAAAGGAAAACAGAACGACATGTCACCATAGCACAAAATACACATACTCAAACATCCAAAGTTGTTCCCTACCGATTTTGGTAAGCCAGCATATTTTTTTTTCTTCAAAAATATCTTTTAATTCCGTCACATATTCTAGAAAATAAAAAAATAAAGCAAACATTGCTCATTGGAGCATGACTTTTACTCCCTCAGGTGGCAGTGTAAAGTCTCTGGGCACAATGCCTTCTTTATGTCTAGAAAATGGGATAATTCATAGTTTCCCCCATTTATAAGTCTTTATCAAGGCTTTCTCTAACTGCCCTTAATATCAAAGATTTATTTACTCCCTGTAACCCCAGTACCAGATAACAGTCATCCTTCATCCACCATGTTCATCATTTAAGAAGTCTTCCTCTTCTTATGCAGGTTCTTGCTTTAACTGTGACTGACACAGTTATGCCCTTAAAAGTGAGCTGGACTAGAGTCTGAATGTTCTCTGCTGCTCTTCAGACGATCAAAAAGAGCTCAGGCCTCCTCATCCCTTTGTGTGAGGCGAAAACGCCACTCCGTGAGCATCACTGGGAAAATACAGAGGTTCCCCTGTATCCATAAAGTGTTCATCAATAAAGTCCCAACAACAACATCTAATATCTCATTCAACACAGACATAGGCATCTTTCAATAAGGAAAAATATCAGCGTGATAAGGAATTGTTATTGTCTCAGTCTCCCATTGACGGCCATCCGCTGGTCTGAGTGTGTGTAGCATCATTTTTATTCTATTTATTTATTTTGAGTGTGTGTGTGTGCGTTTGTGTGAGTGTCTGCAGTCCAGGCATGCCTTCAAAAAGTTTAGTGAGAATGAGGCACCTTCTGACGATTTTAAGGTCGTGGTTCAACAAGCTTCTCCCACAGGGAGGCTTAGTCCCTCTTTTCCACTCAGCTCTTCAAATAAAAGTTGATGAAACCAGTTTTTTTTTCTGTCTCGCTGAAGGAAAGTGTCAAGCTTGTCACTTTCCTTTATTAATATGTTTTCTTTTTAAATAAACCATCTCTTGACAAAATCCAACATGGGACCGTTTCCAATGCAAGATCCACCGACGCTGACCCAGTGCTGCGTTCGTCCTTTATCGGGATGTCTCAATGATGCACTGACGTTCGATGATGATGTTCCCTAGACTACACACACTGCTCCTCCAGTCCTTCCCAAACTTATCAGGGTGGCGGTGTGAAGGCACAAGGACACACACACACACACACACACGAGTCGTGGTTTGCTCTCAGACCAGCGAGGCCTCGGCTAGTCATAACTCTGTGATCTCCAGCGGACTCTCAGACAGGGTGTCCCCATCCTTGTGGCGGTGCATCGGGGTGGACTTTGCAGACTCTGTACGGGCGTTGCGCTCAGAGTACAGCACCCCATCAGAATTTAGTGCCTCCAGAGAACGTGCCAGGGCCCGCTGGTCGTCCTCAGGCAGGCTGTTGAGGTCAGACGTGAGGAGCGTGCCTGTGCTGCCGTGGACCACGTGCACACCCTCAGACCCTTTCAACTCCACAGGAAGCTTGTGCTTGAAACGGAGAGTGCCCCGACCTCCACCCATACCCAGATGCTCATCGTCCTCGTCATCCAAATCGCTCTGGATCAGCTGTTAAAGGAGGACAGGAGAGGAGAGGGAGAGTGAATGAAGCTGCTAGCTATTAATGCTGGGATTAAAATGCATTAGGTTGACAAAGAAATAGCTTTGACAAGGTGCTAGAAAGGAGTAAATCAGTGGAATGAAACAGAAGTGAAATTAGTAGGTCACTGGAAGAAAAACACTTGAAACAAATAATCAGCAAATTTTAAGCTTAAACTCTGTTTGACCTGAAGTCTGGTTCACAGTACACGAGAAAGGAGAACCAGCAGGAAGGAATCATGTCAGAGTACTCAGACAAGCTGTCAGAAAGGGAACTGAGAGAAACAGAAGATCATTCTCCAGCAGACAGCAACACCTTCAGCAGGTGCAGAGAGCTCGTCCGTTTTTTGTAGCCCACCTCAGTGACAGATGAGATGTCTCCTTCGGTTGTGGATGCTGTGACAAGCCGTGCTGCAAAGAGCTTTTTCAGTCTCAGGTAGTCGTCCAGGACCACCTTGAGCAGGGAACCCTGACAGGATGGCAGTCATGATCAAACATAGTATGTAACACCATCCACCTTTGCACACCCGCGCTGTCACAGGACAGATAAATAAGAATCCAGAGCAGGAAGGCCTATCCCTGAAGGTACGTTAAAAGCCTATAATAGAGTCCTCAGGGTCTGCCTCTATATTTTATACTCAGGACCTCCTCCACTTCTTAAAAATAGGGGAAGGCTTGAGTTCTGGGAAAAGAAACTGTCCCGACAATTATGAGATGGATGGAGCAAAAATAAAAAAGAAAGTATGCGCATGTGTGAGTGCATTACTCCTGGTCTCACCTTGATAGGGCCCTCTCTCATGATATGGCCCAGTTTAGCAATGTTGTCGTACTCCTGAATTGCTGCCCTCAAGTAACAATCATCCTCAGGTTTCGCTTGAGGCTCTCGACCAAATGTGCCCTGTGAGAACAAATGATGAAAACGTTATGGTAGAGTATTTCATGGTAAACGATACAAACTCCCATATTCTACATCTCTTGAGTATTAAAACACATAGCAAAATTGTATCTATTAATATACTTGGGGTGTTATTGAGAAATACAAATGGATGTTGGTACTGACGTGAGTGCGTGCGGGGCTGTTCCACAGGTCAGTTATCTCACTCAGGTTCTCAGGCAGGTCATCCTCATGGTCAGCCTGAGCAGCCAACTCAAGGTTGCGACAGAATGGGTCCAGCCACACTGGATTGGCCCTGCAGAAGCATTAAATCCATCAGTGAGAGGTTATACAAAGGACCTTGCCTTTGAAGGCATCAAAATAAGCTTCAAGAAAATGGTTAATTCAAATGAACTTCCTGATCTATGGAGAAAGGAAAGAAATGATTGGATTATGTGTCTCTTTTCTCATAATTTGTTGTGCTATAGAAATGCTGAGGATACCTAATTATGGTGAAAACAGCTCAAATAGTCATGACAATGCAGTTAACTATGATTTTTACAACTATTTTGTCTGTAAGCTAATTATAAAGCTAATGTGCAGTTAGCTTAGTTTGATATAATGACACTGGAAACAGCTAGCCCGGAGCTATGCAGAGATAACACTTACTTACACTTAACACTTACTAATTAACATGTTAGTCTTGCTGTCACACGTTAAAACAACACTTTAGGGTTTTGTGGGGAATTAAATTCCAATAATATTTCTTGGGGTTGCAGGACGATGATTTTTAACTTTCAACTTTTTAGGTTGTTCACTAGTTTTGTATACTGGTCTTTTTATTTTCTTGAGCATTTTGGAGCATTTAATTCTTGTTATAATTTGGTCCTTTTAATTTGTTCCCTCTTGTAGCTTAAGATTAAGTTAAAACGTTTAGTTATGGCGCTTACTTCCTGTTTTATTTTGATAAAATCTAGTGGTGTCTAGTGTTTAGTTTTACTTCCCCTCCTGTATCACTGTCTTTCATTATTGTCAAGTGTCTTGTCTCTCTCCTGTGCCCTGCTCTTCTTCTGTCCTTTGTTGCAGTGTCTGTTAACCTCCTCTGTTATATTATTAATAAATACACTTATTAAGCATTTATTTGTTTATTGTTTTCTAAGTCAAGGAGAGGCATGCCTGAAAAAACAGAAGTTGTCAAACAACAAAAATCAAGTGAGAACTCTGAAAAAACAGAAGTTGTCAAACAACAAAAATCAAGTGAGAACTTTGTTGTAAGTGAGAACTTCTTGTAAATAATGTTAGCCAGTAAAATGTAAAAATAAAGCTATTATCTTACCCCTCAAAGGAGTACTTGTTAGTGTTGGGCATGTCCAGGATATCCATTAGTCCCTGGTTTCCTGTGAGGTAGAGGAAAGTTCAATGTAATGGAAAAACAGCTTTGAGTTAACTGATATTTTGTACTGTACATCAGCAGATAGCAAAGTCATTTCCTGATCAACAGATAAAGGGACCGTCCCATCAGTCGAGCTGCTTCTCACCTGTTGATCCTGCGACAATTGCTTTCAACTTCCTCTCATGTCTGCGTCAAACAAAAAGACACATTATGAGATCATAAACATGTTGATCAGCTGCTCAGACTGGTAGCGTGACTGAGCGAGTTTCAAACAATGTAAACAAATGTGCCTTAATACAAAATTCTTACACTCTGCGATAATGCCAATTCATTGTGACAAACAAAATCCCCGCAAAGCACAGCAGCACAGCCAAGATAATGATGACCAGCTGTGAAAGAGAAAAAGAAAGACACCTTAAAAGCACCAAAACCAAATAACATCTGCAGCAGGCTGGAGACTTCCAGAGTTGGCAGCTTTGCACACCTGCAGAGTAGAGATGTCGTCTGGCAGTTTGTCCCCAACAGCTGGCTGGACATCCACAACATTGTATTTTCTGAACAGGTTTCTCAGCTGCTCTTTGTTTTCATCGATCATCTGAATAACCCTGGAAAGTATTAAAAAAATCGGTTCAGAATGTGTAGTCCTTATATAAAAAAGGCCTTATTGCACTGGCCTTATTATTCCTAGTGTATGTGAATCAAAGTGCAACCACGCTGCTTTGGAGCGCTAGTGCATACACGACCTTTCAACGTCTAGGATGGTGTTGGTCTGATTGTTGACAACGTGGATGAGCATATCAGTCTGAACATAGCTCACTCTGCCCTTCTTGTCCACATGAAACTGAAAAAAAGGGTCAAAGATGTCAGATATCTACACACTGCAAACAAATCAAAGCATTTCTCTAAGAAAGCCTAACCTGTATGTCATCTAAATTGACAATAGCACCGGTGATGTTGGAGAGCAGGTTGATGAAATCTTCCTGGTTTGCACGAACAAAATCGGGAATCTCATTGAAGACTATCTTGACCCTCTGGTCATCCCGGAGAATATAGATATTCACATTAGTTGTTGTGCTGTGTCCAGCAAAATCACATGCCAAAATCTCAAGCTGAAAGTAGCCGGGATTAAAGGCTGTGAAGAGATCGTAAGTGCGGATGATGCCATCTGTCAAACCTGGGGAAATCAAGGGACAGCATTGTTTCTGTGTAAGAAATTTGCTTCACTCGGGAGCAAAAAGACTTTTGTCACTGTATGTACACCAGTACAACTGAAACCATGCAGAAAAGATCTGAAAATAGGCGGTGGTTTAAGTAACTTTCTCTGCGTCTGCGTGGGAAAATGGTTACGGGAAGCAAAATGTTCATGTGTGAGAACGCTGTTACTATTTGTTAACTCGGTTTTATTGAAGCCATTTCAATTCCTATAATTTGTTTGCAAACGAGTTCAAAGTCTGAACTTACTCATTTGTGACAGAGTCGTCCTTATCTTTTAAAACAATATGTGAACAGTTTTTCATCAAGTTTTTATTATGAGATATTTGACATCTGCATTTACTTTAAATCTCTCGCCATTGCTACACAGTGTTTTTGCCCTCTAGAATTCAGAAATACTTGTTGTGCAAGTTTCTTAAATTTCTTTTTTCTCACAGGTCAAAATGTACCCAAGATTAAAATACAATGCATTTTGGTTCTCCCTTCAGAGGATTTGCATTACAGCAATGCATTATAGAAACGCACCGATGATGAACATATTGCCAACATCCTCACTGCCGTTGCTCTGTGAGTGGAAGTAGCGGATCGTAACAATGTGGTACTGGACCACGCTGTTGTTGCCTATATCATTATCTATAGCCACCAACTTGATAAGCTCTGAGCCCACTTTGGCGTTTGCTGCAACTCCTAAAACAAGAAAGAAATGTATAAAGTAAATGTCGGCATCACATAGTCCATCATACAGATTTATGCAGGAAAGCAGGTTACCTGCAGTGTACTCTGTCTTCATGAAGCGTGGTGTCTGGTCATTGATGTCTTCCAGTTCAATCCGGACATCCAGCAGACTGGGGTCTTGAGCCGGATCCAGAGCTTTAGCCCGTAATGACCTCTGACCCCTGGGGGGAGTCCAGCTCTTGTTGCTGGAAGCCTTGATTATGATGGAGTAGACTGGGATCTCCTCTCGGTCCAGATCTTTGAGCACTTTTAACTCTCCATCTAGACTCAAGCCAAAGTTTCCGTCGCTGTTTCCTCCTTCAGGAAGAGACACATTTGGCCACATTAAACACTGAAGCTTCAAAGAGCGAACAAAGACAGCTAGATCCATACAAATGTCTTCATTATTCTCAAGCTTTTGAAGTACAAGGACTTTCATATGGCCACACAATAGAGATACAATAAGTTGAGAAAAACTTGTTTATAATCTTCCTAAATTCAAGACTTTGGCTACATCAGTTATTGAAGTGACTGAGAAAAAAAATCACAATTAACAGCAAAAACATGCTACTGTGTGTAAAGCACCGAGTGACCTGCAATAAAGTAGTAGACGATTGCATTGGAGCCCTCATCGGCGTCCACAGCTCTGGTTATGTTGTCCACAGTGGTTCCTGGAGGGGAGTGCTCAGGCACTGTCAGCTTCTGGTAAGGCAAGCCACCACGCTGGGAAGTGCACACACACACACAGACCATGGGAAAATATTACATAAAAACACATGAACACAATCTCTTATGTACAGATGACCACATTTATGATGTATTCCTAGATCTGTGTGCTCACAGGCGGTTTGAGGAAGACAGGCTCATTGTCGTCGATGTCCGACAGCGCCACCTGCAGAGGCTGTGTGGTCTCATAAGGCACTGGCTGGCCCATGTCACGGGCCACAATAATAAGCTGAGAGAACAGTTTGCACAGGGTTAGCGTCACATACCTACAATTACACCAACTGAAAACACAAACAAACTCTGGTGACTCACGCTAAGCAAGGCCTGCTTCTCTCGGTCAAGCTTTGCAGTAGTAGTAATGACTCCAGTCACGGCATCAATGTGAAAGTTTTCCCAGTCTCTGTTACCGGCTCCCGTCTGCAGGAAGGCATAGCGCACTTCTCCATTGAGCCCCTCATCAGCATCTGTAGCATGCACTTCATACACCACCAGTTCTGGACGTTGTTCCTGTACAGAGCAAAGAAGGGCAGTGAGTGTTTGTGTGACTTGAACTAAATAACCTATCTATATTACTCAAATGCAAGAAATCTGTGGTTTATGAGAGGTTTCTATATTGTGATATGGTATGATGTCTCTCAGTTGGAAGATAAACAACTCTTGAAAGACCACAACCAAACCACAATAAGGGTTATTTTATTAGAGCCATTTATGATACTGATGGAGTGTCAGACAAATATGACTAATCCACATGAAATACATTTTATTAGCAGTGTATTAAAAAGGAAGTAAAAGTATAAGTTCAACTCTTCACAGTAAAACCAGTGACTCATTTCTTTTGAGCATTATAGTAGCACTAGAGTAAAGAAATCAGGACATATATATCCTTGCACAACAGAAGCGTACGGCAAAAGCACATGCTGACAACGATGACTTAAAGAAGGCTGTGAATGCAGATGGTACCTCTAAGATATGGATGATAGTTCCATTGGCAGGCCTAACAAACACAGGTCTGTTGTCATTGACATCTATGACTATGATGATCAGGTCCGCTGTGCCCCATAGGGGGGGACGCCCCTGGTCTGTAGCCACCACAGTCAGGTTGAAACGTTCTGACGACTGAAGCAGACGTCGAGATCGCACCAGTCCTGTGTTTGGATCCAGGGAGAACGCATCTGAAAAAGCGCAAGAGAAGACAAAGTTGTGATACTATTCTCTTTCCACCAATTATACAAGTGATTAAAAAGTAAAGTGTGGATATTTATTGGAAGAATTCAAGCTGTACCTAAGGTAGTAACTTTTAATTCAAAGCATAGTTCATTGAAAAGATTTAGTCATGTGACCCTATTGAGGATTTTATTGCATCTTGCGTTTTCATACCTGAATGGGGTCCTAACATGTTGTAGAGTACTGCACCATTCTCGCCTTCATCCAGGTCAGTAGCCTTTATTGTTATCACGGAAGTACCACTGGGCTCATTCTCAAACACACTGGTGTTGTACACTCGCTCTGAGAAGCGCGGCCGAAAGTCGTTGATATCGAGAACAGTCACCAGGACCTGATTTGACACATTATAATGCAAAAGGATATTAGGGATAGTATTAGCTTGGGCTTTAAGATCTGCAGAGTTTAGCTCAGCACGCAGTTAAAACAATAGTTCAAATTATAAAAATTATATATATATTATAAGATAAGCATTGGCTTCAAATTCATAGATTCTCCTGGTCGACACCCTTAATAAGTATTTGATCAAGTGTTTGCATGATTTGCTATTTTTTGACTTTGACAACACAACTTGTAAAATTGGCCTATTTCTCATTTCCATAAGGGTTCAATGAATCACCCAAATACTAAAGACATATTTACAATATTGTTTATGTGTAAACCAAATATTTTTGCCATCACGAACTACGATTTCTACCTGGACAGAGTTCTCTCGTCTCTTGTTTGGACTGTCGCCGGGATTGTCTCGGGCGACAGCTGTTAAAGTGTAGTGATCCTTTGTCTCTCTGTCTAGAGGGGACAGGATGTAGATCTCTCCCTAACGCAGAAGAGAAAGAATGATGAGGGGAAGAAGTAAAAGTGTTGACTGGGAGAACATATAGTTGACTCTGTGTTTATGACAGAACAGAAGTCAAATACGGTCAAATATGTACTGTAGATATTTTTAGATCCTTTTGCATAAACTTGTGTTTCCTGGTAGTATGCTCCTCAGTCCTGCCAGGAGAGATAACACAGTAAAACACTCCTCACTACTCAATAAATGTTTATTTTTTTCCCCAGAGGACAGAAATTCCACATTTTCAGTGGAACCTGCTGTTCAAAGGTTATGGATTGCTTCGCTTTAACCTTTCCACTAAAATCTCACACAGTGGAATGTTACATTTACTGTAACTACTCTGAGATGTTTTTGTTACACTTTAAGCAAAGCTTTGTCATTTTGGATTTTCTAGGAAATGCTAAAACAAAACTCTAATTGCAGAAACAAAAATAAAGCAATTTTATTTACACTAGATCAGATTTTGCTGGTGTATGAGTTCACTTACAGTAGATGGTCTGATTCCAAACTTGCCCTCTCCATCTACCAGGCTGTACTCAATCACTGCAAAGAGGCCAGAATCAGCATCTGTAGCACGGACGCGAACTATGGTGGTGCCTAAGTCTACATTCTCAAACACAGGCTCCTACAAACAAGAAAAAAAGAACAAAAAAACACTCATGCAGTACAATGCTTGATGACATTGCAAAGCAAGCTCATTTTTACAGTTAATACACTGGTGGCAGTTTACTGTGGTGAATTAATTTCATGGATTTTGTGTGCTCTTATTCATAATTTAATGACTTTGTTATTTCTCGGTTTGCTGTGTTTTGTCCTTTTCGGGCTCACGTGCGCTGGTACTTTATTTAATTTAGACATAGATGTAACTAATGACACTAATAACACTGGCATCCTGAGGCTTGTACTTCTCCTGCGGTAGGCTCTTAAAATCTCCACAAATATCAAGTTTAAGCAGTGATCACAGAGAATATAGAAACATTTTAAGCAACAGTCCTACACAAATTTGCTTCAATTGTGTTCGTGTTTCTTAACGTCCTCTTTAATACCTGATATGACGGTTGTACAAAGACAGGGTTGTTGTCGTTGACATCTACAATACGCAGATAAACTGGCAGCTCAGCAATCTTGGGAGGAGTGCCGTGGTCCTGAGCACGAATTGTAAAATTCAGCCATTGAACCTGCTCAAAATCCACCGTCTGGTTGGCTACGATCTTACCTAGAAAAAATGGTATCACAATGATAGTCACGGTCAACATTCATATACTATAGCCTGTGTTTAGATTTTAAATTTGCATGACAACAAGTACGGAAAAGTATAATATAAACACAATTACAATAAAAACAAGTCAAATAAAAAAATAAAGCTAGTAAATAGTAGCTTGTAAATCTCATAAACCCATATTTTCACAGAACAGAACATGGCTCAGGCGGTTGGGAATCGCATCTGTAACCGGAAGGTCGCCGGTTCGATCCCTGGGCTCTCTGTCCTGGTCGTTGTGTCCCTGGGCAAGACACTTTATCCTACTTGCCTACTGGTGTTGGCCAGAGGGGCCGATGGCGCGATATGGCAGCCTCGCTTCTGTCAGTCTGCCCCAGGGCAGCTGTAGCTACAACTGTAGCTGCCTCCACCAGTGTATGAATGTAAGAGTGAATGAATAGTGGCATTGTAAAGCGCTTTGGGTGCCTTGAAAAGCGCTATATCAATCCAATCCATTATTATTATAGAAAACTTATTTAAACTGAGAAAATGTACCAGTTTAAGAGAAATAGTTTCTTATTTTGTTCTGTAGCTTATGAGACATTCAAAGTGTTTGCAATTTTAAATTAAGGAATATTATTCTGAAATCCTTTTACAGATGCAGTTTTTTTTGCCTCTGCCCTCTTTACTTCTGAGTTTACTCTCAGTTTACTTCATTAGTTGCAAAATGTTTCAAAATGTGGCACCACCCCAAGTTCTTTGAGACATGTCAAATTCAAAATGAGCTAATATTTTTCATTAAATATAAAAAATATTTCAGTTCAAACATGTGTTTTTGTTGTATACTGTGAATAAAATAAGATTAGCAAATCATTGCATTCTGTTTTATTTGATGTTCCAAGTAACAGCATCTTAAATGAAAGCAAATCTAAAACTGGTGCATGCTGCGTTTGTTGACAGCATGCAGCCAACGACAGCCCACCAACTGAAGGGTCCTCCAGTCTAACGTATCCCCCTCGAGGCAAGTGAAGCAGTTGGTAGATGATCTGGCCATTGGGACCCTTGTCTGGATCTACAGCTGACACTGACAACAGCGTTGTGCCTGGCTGAGCTCCTTCTAAAATCTTCTCTGTGAAGTTAGTCACTCCAAAAGGCCGGAAACGAGGAGCATTGTCATTTACATCCAACACGTTGATGGTTAATCTTGCTGTAGAGGAGATCATGATATGAGAGATAAGTGGAAACTACTTAGGAAGTCACTTATAATAAACTGAAGGTTAAAGAGTCACTTACCATTGGGAACACTGCCTGACCTGTCAATAACATCGCTGGCATTGTCATGTACAGACACAATGATCTCAAATGTAGCTACCAGCTCTCTGTTGAGAGGGTTGCGTACAAATACCGCGCCTGAAAGTCCATATAAAGACACACAAAAGACCTGATATAGCCGGTATCCATCATCATTACTCAAAGTAAAGCTTTTTAGATCTAAACATACAACGCGGTAGAAATATATGTCTCACCTGTGTGTAGATCAATCCCAAAGGACTCCTGGAGCCCATCCACTGGGTTGTTCCCATCATCCTTTGCCTCCACGGAAATAATGTAATACTCCAACCGCGGATGCAGATCAGGGTCCTCGGCAGTCAGCGTGGCTACCACCACACCGGGCGGAGTGGACTCATTGACGTTTATCACGGTTACAGGCTGTATAAAACGTGGCCGTGAGTCGTTGACATCATCCAGGATAACAGTCAGGGTGGCCGTGCCAGACAAAGGGGGTGTGCCGCGGTCAGTTGCTATGATGACAAGACGGTATGATTCGCGCTCCTCTCTGTCAAGCGTGGTGTTGCCCACTAAGACAGCGCCAGACAGCGCTTCGACCACAAAGCGGTCCTCTGCGCCACTTTCCAACCGATACGTCAGCCATCCGTTAGAGCCAGAGTCAGCATCGGTGGCAGACAGTTGAGTCACCACAACACCTGGAAGAGACAAAGTAATGACTGGAGAGCAAATATACACACACACATTGTGATCAAGTATCACTACACCGAAGACAAAAAGCCCCTAAACCTCATACAGTGGAGGGGTAATACTTTTGTTTCAAAGTCCCTCCTCCCATCCCACTCACTGACCCAGATCATAGAAACAAAGCAATGCACACACCAGTCGGGCTGTTTTCAGGAAGTCGAACGCTGAAACTGGACGGGCTAAAGACAGGAGGGTTGTCATTTTGATCCAGGATGGTAACTGTGAGAGGTACGCTGTTGTTTAAACCTCCTATGTCCTCCGCAACCAGAAACAGCTCTACACGAGGCTCCTGAAATGCCTCTCGGTCCAACTTTGCTCCCTGGCGCACAAGTATCACACCTGGAGGGAGATACAGACTTTACCATCACACTTTTTAAAAAAAGAAATCTTCTTTCTTGTTACTGGAGAGTCACAATGTTACCAGTATCAGCATCTACGGTGAAGAGGTCCACCCTGGGTCCCAGCAGGCGGTACTTCACCACAGCATTACGTCCAATGTCTTTATCCTCAGCTAGAACTGGTCCATTTAAAACTGTTACAGTGGTTCCTACAAGACAGACTAAGATGTCAGGAATGAGGAAAAAGCTGTCCTCCCAATTTAAATCAATATGTGGTAAAAAGAAAAGTCATCTTAATTATTACACACTGAAAATTATTCACGTAAAATTCTTTGCTCTTCTTCTTTAAAAAGTAGTCCTTGTTTGGGGATAGATTTAGGCCTGTCACTTATGCTGACTTTAGTCTCACAATATTTCAAAAATAACATTGATCATCAGTCCTTACAAGGTAAAGGACTTTTGGAAGAAGTCTTCTGTACTGTCCCCAGGTCACGTGTTTGTTATTTGTGTTTTGAACAAATGTATTTTGTGTATCTGAAGTGTATTTATAATACAAGGCTATTTGTAAATCACTCGACAAAGTGAAAAAAAAAGCCTTTGCTGAACACGAACTGTGTGTAAACAGATTCAGGAAGTGGGTTAGACAGTGCTACAGACCATGTTGCTCTGCCATGCAGTTATAGGTTGCAAAGGTAGACACACACACACACACCCACACACACACGGATGCTACCTGCAGCAGAGTTTTCTGTGATTTCAGCCCTGTAGCTGCTCCTGGTAAACACAGGCCTATTGTCATTCTCATCCAAAATGGTGATAACCAAGAAGTCTGAATCCTGGTGTGTGGGACAAAAGATTCATGGAAAGAAAATGCTTAGAAGACTGTGTGACACAGCAAGCAAGAGACAAATATAGGTCAGTCAACCTGCAAACTAATATAGAGATATCAGACGTCAGATCAGACAGATTTTGCACTACTTTGTTGCATGCACTAATGGACTGCATTCAGACTCTTAGCGGTTCACATCTCTGCAGGCAAGAAGAACAGTTTCACACCTTTTCCCACAGATGCATGGTGCGTTTAAAGAAAACCTCACAACTGCAGTTTGATGAACTATGTTACTCTCGCTTTAAGTAAAAAGACCACATATGAACACGATGCAGGAAGTAAAGTATCAAAAAACAGGTGGGACATAGGTATAAACAGAAGTGTCTTATAACTCTTAAAGTATCAAAATTATGTAACTTTCAAAGATGAACTTCATTTGAACTCACGTATCACTGTACCTAGTAGAGCAAAATGGGCATAGAAAACCTTAGATTGAAAGTTTTTCTATTTTTCTTACATGAATCCACCGTTTGCACTTTGCACTTGTTACATTATATAACTTTTATAGTTGTGATCAAAGGTTTATATACAGTCATCATGGGCATGAATGTCATGGTAAATTTGTCACCATACAACTGAGTGCCGGGTGTGTCGGGGCTGGCGGTGTTCTTCCTGGGTCCACCTTGAGGCGGAGTCAGGCAATCTCCTTCACCTCCCTCAGTGGATTTCCTCCACTATCACTGCCTCCACCCTGCCCACTGAAGCTCTGGATTCCCTGCCACAAAACCATTCACTTGGGTTCACGACGACGCCTCCCAATTGGAAAACCGCTCTGATCCAAGTAAGCAGCCACACCTACTGAATCACTCCTCAGATTTCCTGCCTCACTTTGCCTCATTGTCTCTGTTCTCCCTGTGCCCTGGAGGAGACTGTAATCCTGTTCTGGTTAAACCAGTCATCTGTGCCCGTCTTCCGCTCCTGAGTTTCCCTAAGAAGTCTCCCCTCCACCTCACTGACGCTCCGCACATCTTCCCCATATTGTACATATTCATGTAAATAGTTGTTTAATATCTTGTGGGCTTGTTGTGGGTTTTGGTGTTTGTAAATGGCTTTGATATCACTGAATAAATCAAGTGTAAATTCATCGCTGAGCTTACTGAGTCTGCTTTTGGGTCCTTTCCCTCAAGCTGGCCTCCAGGTCACCTTGTGATAAACATGGGCTTTTAAACTTTTAAAACTTCGAAGTTTTCTTTTTCCAGTACAGCATGCATACATGCTTTTGGTAGACATTAACAAGCTTTTGCATAACTTAGGCTGGATATTTGACCATTCTCCTTGGTAGATTTGGTAGAATTCATATACTTTAGTTGGTTTCCTGGCACATGCTAGTTTTAAGCATGGGGTTAAGGTTGGGGCTTTAGGAACACCAATCAAAAAGCCTAACGTTTACTGCTTTATCCACTGGAAAACCAGTTTTGATGTGTGTTTGGATCATTTTCCTGTTGTAGCACCCAGCTGTGTCAAGTTTCAAACATCAAGCTGCTGATTTCAGGTGAAGTTGATGATGTCTCGTCTGGCCATAAAATCTATTCTCCAGAAGGCATTTGGCTTGTCCATGTGAGTCAGAACTCACCACCAACACAACGCAGAAGCTGGCCGCCCCTCCCAGAGCCTGGTTCTGTTGCAGTTTTCCTGTTAAAAGAGTTTCTCCTTTCCACTGTCATCAAATGCTTGCTCGTAGGCGTGTCTGATTGTTGGGTTTTCTCTCTGTTATGGTGGGCATCTGTTATTGTACAATATAAATCAACTTGAGGTCACTGTTGTTGTGATTTAGGGCTATATTACCCATTTGTGCCTTGTTCATCGTTCAAACTAAAGCAATCACCCAGAGTTTGAAGGGCTCATTTACATTTCATTCACATTATGGCAAGTGCTTTCGTGAAACAACTATTTGTGCATAACCTAAAAACCATGCTTGCAGTTAAATTCCCGAGATAAGCTGCAAAGACACACTATTTTATTTGCAGGCAGATGGGTTCATTGGTCTCTCTGTGAAACTGTCAGGGTGATAGCATGCAAACACTTGCAACAAATGCACACAGGAGAGTGAGCTTACCCTACGAGCGATGCGGGGATTCTCGGGGTTGTCTTTGACGGTGATGGTGAGTGTGTATTCAGCTACTCGCTCTCTGTCTAGTGGTCTGTTGACCTGGACGACACCAGTCTGTGATACAAACAAGAGACATATTTCACCCTTATCTAAAAAAAAAAGACAAATTCATATCCTGTCACATAAGCTTTTTATTTATAGTCTATACACAGCTAATGTATTTAGCTGGACTGCAGATTAAAGGGAGCCTAAACACTTCCATAGGTTAAACTAAACTGATAAACTGATCTGGGACTAAATCTAGAAGCTCTTGGATGCTTCTTTATCTTCCACCACCTGCTCCACCTTTTTCAGCCTAAACCCCACCACCCAGTTCTCTCACTGTGTCATTGATGTAGAAGGCTCCATCCTGGTTGCCAGCAGTGATGTTATAAGTGAGCAGTGCGTTGCGTCCGCTGTCTGCATCTTGCGCCCGGACTCTGGCCACAGACGTGTGTACTGACGCGCCTTCACTTACACTTGTGTTGTAAGGCAGGTTAAGGAGGACCGGGTCGTTATCATTGATATCAAGAACATAAACCCCCACCAGCACCTGAAAAAAATAAGAGCCACCTTTAAAAATAAAGGCATTCAGTTCAAGCTGGTTGAACAGCTATTAATAAACCCATAAAAACAAGACTTTATTATGATTTTTTTATATTGTGGGTTATGTGACATAAAGAGATTAAAAAAACTACAGCAGTCATTGAGGTGATATATAGTATCCTACATGTGGTTAATGTGTATAGTAAGCAAATAATAGAACTAAGCCACATTTAACACACAGTAACAGACATGGCAGAGTGTGTGGGTGCTTATGTGTGAAAGCGTGGCCCACCGAGCTGTTGCGAGATGGGGTTCCCAGATCTCGGGCTGTGACAGTGATGTTATAGAAGGCAGTGGTCTCTCTGTCGAGCTCTACATCCTTTCTCACTCGAAGCTCACCCTCCACTGGGGAAACCATGAACTCGTCTGACAGAAAAACATATAAGAGAGTGGAGATGCATATCAGTGTAGAAGGGGGTGTTCCTAGGCTTCTTATGTGACGTTATCTAAAGGTTCTCTACTTCACTAAAGGTGAAAAATGTCCCAGACCTTCACAGGACGCTGGGGATGTCCCTGAAACGCCCTGCCTCGGTTGTGAAAATGCTGCACGTCCCTTTTATACGACTATAAAATTTGGTTACTTAATAGTCAGGTTACAATGTTGCAAGGACATTTTGGACATGTTTCCAGGAAGTGTTACGAGACGGTGCCCTTCACAATAACTGTAATGTTCTCAGGATGTTCAGAGACGTTTTGAGGGATTTCATAACAGTTTACCGTCACCACAGCAAATCAGTCTGATACGAACTTTGGAAATCTCCACCGGTGATGCTGTACTCCACTTTGCCGTTGAGCCCGGAGTCTTCATCCCTGGCTCGGAGCGTCCACACCCGAGGCCCTGGCTGACCTTCAGTAACTTCAAAAGGTCCCTCGTAGGCTCTGGGAAAAGTGGGTGTCACGTCGTTTATATCCAGGACGTTCACCAACACCTAAAAAGGGGACAGGAGGGGAGAGTCAAATGAGAGCTGGTACACAGACGAAGGCGATCCTCGATAAAATGCAGAATGCATGTGGGAGGATTTCTATGTGTGTGTTATTCTGTAAATATAAATATGAGTGTTCGTCATCACTGTTGTGCTAGATGTCAGGCGAAGAGCAGGTTTTGGACACTGGTCCGTAGCTGTGACCACCAGCGCATAATGTCCGTTGCTGATCTCAAAGTCCAGCTCCTTCACAGCGGTAATTCTCCCCTAAATAAACACAGCATTAACAGAAGGTTAACATTTTTCTGCTGCTGCTTGTGACGCTTCAGCATAACTGCTCTTATGTCTCACCGTGATGCTGTTGATGTTAAAAGTCTGGATCAGGTTGCCTGAAGCGATGGCATATCGCAAGGTGCCGTTCAAACCCTCATCTGGGTCAATGGCCGTTACCGTAGCGATGGTGGCACCCACTGTCTCCGGTCCCTCGCTCAGCACTGTGACGTACTCCTCTTCGGGGAACTCCGGGGCGTTATCGTTCTCATCCACAATACGAACGTAGATGGTGGTTGAGGTCTGCATTACACACAGAGAAACACAGAAAAGCATTCACAGCTGCATGCTCTGTTTAGAGTGATTTTATTTATGTGAATGACAAAAAAACGATTAACTTGTGGCAACTGAGGCTGCAAGGGAGTCTCAATATGAGTTCATACTTCTTTTGTATTGCAATTACAATGAAACTACAATGAGTTATCATCAGTTGGGCGTGCAAAGGTCAACAACACAACAAAACACTTGTGATGCTCTCATGTGACACTGGATATTCAGCATTCACTTTATATGAAGGAATAATAAAACAAATAAATAAAAACAGGTGCATTGTTTGCTGAAAGAATATCTTGTGAGAACCAAAACTGCAAAATCATGAAAGTGAGCCATAAAGCCCAGCTTGTTCCAACTCATTTCTGGTTGTTCAGATCTTGACACATCAGCAGAAGTAAAGGTATCACTGCAAGAGATAAAGGTCATGCAAGTTCCTGCTCCACCAGTTCCCCAACCAGTGCTGCAATAAGAACGAGCGACTAACCTGGCCCTTCAGGCTGGGGGGGTTAAATTCGTCATTCGAATTTTATAATGCTCCAAAAACAAAACCCACCAAGTGATAACCTGAATATCACCACAGCTTTGTTTACTCTAAATAGTTTTTGGCAAAATCAAAAAAAAGAAAAGACGTCAGTAAAACTTTCAAGGCCCAAAGGTGAAGTGCGATCGTTTTTCACAGGAAGATCAATTTACTTGTAAAAGAGCTCTCTTACTGTCACGTTTATGTTTTGTGTCCTCGTGATGCCACTGGGGTCATCTCAGTCTTAATTGTGCCTGAAAAAAATCTGATTGGAAACAAACAAAATCCCAGTTTGCTACAAACTGGATACTGAGCATTCGCAATAAACATTATTGAGATTTATCAGAAATATATTCTACCACTCCAAAACACGTCTTCCGGCCTGCAGACTATCACAGACTAAACGTCTAGATATTTCTAGACATACCTAACTAGAAGTAAAATCTTACAAGTCAGCAGACATTTCCTGATATTGTGACATCTCACAGATATAGTGGTCAGATATGCACCAGTCTGAAAATGTCCGTTAACAGAACAAGCTCATTTAGAAACAGTTTAATCACATAATTAGGGTTTGTTTTCTCCACCAAAAGACTCCAGCACCCTCAATACTATGTGCAACACATGTCGAGTCAACATATGTCTTGATGGTCATTTGCTAACTATCGTGTGAAAGCTAACAATAATATAAACAATGACTGAGCGAGCTGATAAGGTAATACTTTGGTGCGATTACAGTATGCAGATGTAAAAGCCTGCAGGCTGCCCCCAAAAATGTGATGATGCAACATTTTAAACTTTGCACCACTGAAAACAGCTCAAACTCTTTTAATATAAGTCTAACAGACAGGAACACAAAAATAAATATATACATAATTTTTAAATCCCTTAACATTTATATCAACATTGCCGTTAAAAAACAAACTAGTATCTGTGAGGCTCTTTTTGCGAGAAAGGATAGTGGGTGGGTCACTGAGAGCGAGAGAGAGAGAAAGGGAAACAATGAGGAGGAGCGAATAAGGGACTGTCACGCTGCTTCACAACTCAGAGAAGCTGGAGAGACAAGGGACGATAAACCTCCCCAACTGTTCTGGAGTAAAGTTCAGACAAGTCGCCTAGTTTTAGACTGAATGGGAAGAAAGTTGAACAAAGGCTACTTGTAGATCTAGTTGAAAGCCAAATGTTGTTTATCCGGACAGCCATGGAATGGGTCTCACTCCGTCGCTCATCAGTCTGGGGAAAGAAGTTCGTGTTTTGGTCGCTTTTGCTTTGCATAGCTGGAGGTAAGCACACACGTCCATCCTTTTAAGACTCGCTTAACTGGCTGATCCGGGCGTGTATGAACTTGTCAGTTGTGTTGTTTAGTGAGCGGCTAGTTGACTGGAGTCACAGATGGATTCTCTGTTTTAGAAAAGTCACCTGTCACACACTGATATATATATATATATAGATAGATCTAAAAAGCATCTAGATGGACAAAACAGCCAACTTGCTGTGTCTTACGTGTCTGTACCAATGACAGTAAACCCTCTGCACACTCTGACTTTGATATTTTAACCTCTGTTAGCTTTTTACGACATGCACTTGAACGCAGCGACCCTGTAAGCCCGTTATTTTATCTCGCGTGTCTCTAGGTTTTTACTGAGTTGGTTTGTTGCTGTTTTGAGACAGAACATCTGGCGTGGAGCTGTTTAAACTGCCCGCCATGGATGCAGCCCAGTGGAGTGTAAATCCACCTTAAAGTCAGCGACTTTGAGCTTGACGAGATCAGAAGACCCCCCCCCCTCCCCCCAGGTTTCAAAACAACTTGTAAAATAAATGCAGCGGACACGAAAAGAGGCGGCTGCAAAAACGCAAGAAGTTGATCCTCTGAAAGAAGTTGAGGAAAAGACTTCCTTGTGCGCAAGAACTGCACATAGTTTATCTTTTTAAGACGTCCGTAGGTTTCTGTTTTCTTGGAATTTATTGGGGATTCAGCTGGGAGCTGCGATCATACCCACACTTCATTTATTTATTTTATAAAAGGGAATTTGGGATTGGCTGAAGTTTAGGCAACTGACGGCGGAGGAGAGAAGAGATGCAGCTGTCGCCTCCGGGGTGTAGGGTCCTTCACTTCAAACGCCGCTTAAAAACTCGGGAGAGGTTATCAGCTTTCGCCTTTAGGATTTAAATAAGCTCACCCAAAAGCGAATGTAATGTTTTACTTAAACTCTATACAAATCAAAGCGTTTCTAGAGCAGTTGCTTGTGGGGATTCAGGTATAAAGCCAAAACATTCAGTGACTCAGATATACCATTTGATATGTTTCTGAATTGTTTATGCAGCACAATGAAATCCGTATCGTTTAAGACAGTTTCCTCCTTTCAGTCTTGTTATGTCTTCCTTGTTGGGACGTTTCCTTCCTTTCAGCTTATGATGAAAACAGCTGTTTTTGCCACTGCCAGCAGTGGGTGTCTTCCCCATAAAAAAAACTGGAACCAAACGGTGCCAATTTTCCAACCAGTGAGTAAAAATAAAATTACTCATTCTTTCTCTGCCTCCTTTTCTGCTCGTGTTGTGGCAGGGATTGTGCTTGGTCACATGTGCCAGATGGGCAAATCTTTTACCTATGCAGCAATAAGCTGAAGATGGGGAGGGGGAGGCCCCGTCTTCGGCTTGAAATTTTTCTGGTCATCAGATTTTGAAAGGTCTGTGCATTTGTAGTAAAATCATAATATGAGTTATCAAAAGCAGCGGCCTTCATGCTGCTAGCAAGGGGTTTTCTCTCGCAAGGGCGTTTCTCTGAACAGCTCAAGGACACAGTGATGACCACTGTTGGTGGAACCTTGACTCTGCTTTCAACCTAATGCGACCTGAGATATGAAGACATTAAACTGTGCCAGAAAAGGTTTAACACTGGACGATGTAGTGAAAAACAGGAAGGCAAGGTCAAAGTAAAAAGAGGAAGTTAGTTTATAATAATGAAGTCAGTTTTTAAAAATGATGTAATCCCCGGATTTTTACCATTTTTGAAAAGACAGAAAGGCCCACGTCTGCTCATTTCCACGTCTGAAATGAGAGGCCACCTTCATTTTTAAAGTGAGGAAATAATTGTGCAATCGTGTTGTAAAACTTCTCACAAAGCTGTCATTACACAACCATTTACATGCCATTTATTATGTCAAGAAGAAAAGAAAGAGGAAGACAAATTAAACACACAAAGTGCACACGTTATTTTGGAAAATGCTGCCACAAATTTAGTTTACAAAGTACCAAGGGGCACATCAGATTATTATAAGAAAATGTAAATCTCTAAACGTTGACCTGCAGCTGTGACCCATAACCACTTCCCTTTGTGACAATGTAGAGTGTAGAGCAACATATTTAAAAGGCTTCCTGTTGCTGAAAAGGTGCATCTGTTTGCCATTTCATGCCAGGGGCTTTAACTGAAACTCTCTTACTTTAGAGAGGAGCTCGTCTCCTGCTGCTTTCACTAACACCCTGTAATGGGTTTGATCATCATTACCATTACAGTGGGTGTGAAAAGGGCAGGATATGTGTTGGGAAACAACACTTGCAAGTAGAGGATTAATGCAGTTTGAGAAAACCAGATTTATCTGAAGGGTTCAGCAGCTTCTGTAACATGAGGTAATATCACCGTGCAGACTCACCACAGGGTTATTCAAGACGTCAAAGGTGGGGAAATTTTAGCAGGGTTAATATATGTTTAATCAGCACAGACTATCATTCATGTCTGAACGAAAGAAAGCTGTCAGTGGCAACATGTCCTAAACAGGTGGCATTCTGCCTTAATACAAAGGAGGGCCTGTTTCTGGGCCCTCGGGGGCTATCAGGATTCTGAGAACAGTGATCAGAGGAGGAAACTTATATGTATAATTGAGCCAAAAACACGTCTGTTGTATACATGCAAGAGAAAATCAGACTGTTCCAGACACATGGCATAGCTTGTTGGTTTGGAAACCACATCGAGACAGCTCAGGTAGTACCGACACTGCAAACGCCACCCACTTGGCATGCTAAAAAAAATCATGTTCATTTCCTTTGAATACCTATTTAAAGATCACAGCGTTGTCGGTAAGAAATGTGTGTGCACATTAGCTCTTCCAAGCTGTTCCCCCAGCAATTAGTTAACATTTAGCTATATTTACCGAAAAAAATGCTGTCTTTACTCTCGCCTTCGATATGCATCACTTCTGTGAAATAGGTCTACAGAAAGCTTAAAGAGCTGTCAAAATGAAATTAGGAGAAGAGGAAGGTAGGGTGGGTGTGAAACAGGAGAGGCGAAGGGCTTCCTCTCCTATTGTCCCACTAGGAAGCCATGAACAGTGGGGGGATAAAAGTTTCACTTTAATCACCATCCCAGGTCTTCCTATTGCTTTTCCTAACACACAATGGCTCCAGTAGAGTTCAGCCCCGAATACAGAATTATGGCATCGACCTAACATTGTGTTACACACACACACACACACACACACACACACACACACACACACACACACACACACACACACACACACACACACACACAGGATGCACACATACTGTGCAAACAAATGTGCCAGCCAATGAAAGAGGAAAGGTGATCGACTGTTCTGCTGTATTTAACAGCAGCTGATTCTGTTAATATTTAGACAAAAACACTTGTGTGCTTATTAATTCTGGCTTGTTTGCACGGTGCAGCTTCCCCTTACAAATAAGTAGCACTGCCAGTAAGAGCCAGCAAGTAGTTAAATCCACTCTAATCACATTCAAAGCAAAAGTTTCTGCAGGCTTAGACGCATGTGGAAGTGCTTTCAGTGATTCACAAAAACATGGGTAGTTACTTTGGAGATTTAACTATCTAAATTATACAGCTACATAGAACAACATAACTGAACTTGTTAGGGAACTAATAAAACATGGGAGCTTTTAAATTACTTTTCTTTCTTTGATGAAGCTTGTCAGCTTATTTTTTTCATAACTAGCAGGGGAAAAGACTTTAAACGAAGCAGTAGCTCTCTAAGAAAACTATTAATAGAGAACGCACCGCAACAAGCAGGTCAGCAGAACAAGTTAAAATGAATCTGTGCAAACACAAAGAGTTAGGACCAAAGTTTTTAAAGTTTGGGATATGGCTGTAATGCGGCAGGCACAACAAAGTTAATCCCCCACTGTTTGAATGATCAAGTAATTGTGTAAGTAATGTGTAAACTGGTTAATGTATTGCCTCATATTGTAGGAAAGCTGATCTTTAGGGTTTTTTTTTAAATAGTTGTGTAGACAAATACAGTAAAGATGTGCTAGGAAATAATGACTGGCATTTTATACACATTTAAATAGTTTAATCAAGACTCTGATTTACAGGTTAATCCCCAACATTAATAGTGAGCATAAATCAGCAGGGACAGTCATCTCCAACGCTATAATTACTGGCATTGTGGGTAGTGGTCCAACCTGCTCGAGGTTTTTATCACATAAAGAAACACGAAGTTTGCAACATCTGAAGTTTGGCTTCATGGAATAATGAGCAAGAAACGGGGAGTGGAAGTGTTTATGTGCTGGGATAACTCAGGAAGGAAGTCCACTCCCCAAATTCTGGCATTGACTGAGACTCCACCCTGACTTTCCCAAACAGAGATATGGACACACACACATACACACACACATTTACTGTAAAATTTTGCCATGGTGTCATTATAAAAGATACACATACGTGGGCAAACTCTTCTTTCTCTGCAGTCCACCCACACACGCACCCGTGCATGCAGCCTTCCTGTAACTTTTGCAGCAGTAAGCATTCTTTAATCATCTGTTACAAAGGCAGATCATTACAAAATAATGAGTCCGTTGACAAAGCTAGAGAATGACAGCCTTTTTACGCTGCTCTTTTACAACATAGCGAGGCGTTATATAGGGTGTGCATTTTCCAGATCATGTGTCTGCTTTAAAGTGAGGTTCTGAGAGTGGCATCACACTGCCTAGCCTGAGGATGAGCTAATTTTGTTGTGTTTTTGCAATGCAATAATCATTGAAAGCACACAATTTATGTTTATCTATTCATGCATTCCACTGCAACACTGAAGAATTCACAACAGGATGTGGTTGAGGCAGAGAGTGAGAGAGGGAGAAAGGTTTATGCAATAAGCTGAGAACGAGCTCACAGCTGTGCAGCCGGTTTCCTGAATGTACATGAGTGTGTGCAGAAGATCTTTGAGCGTACCATCCTTTGAGATATTAATACACATAATCGATACACAACAATTGCTGTGTATTAATACCAAACAGCAAGATGATATTTAAAGTTAATAAACAGAACTTCAGTGGGATTTTTTTTTATACTGTCCCCATTTTAAGAGATGAAGAAGTTCCTGCCTATATTTCTGTAGCTCACAAAGAGGAACAAGAGATTTAACTCCCTCAGGACATTTGTATATTTTTCAAGACAGCAAACTATGCATGATTTTTAACCACAGTTTAAATGTACAAAATAGGAAGCAAACTTTGCACAAAAACCCAGGAAGCATGCAGAAGTGTGCCACTAAAGCCCATGTTAAGTTTGGCAGGTGATAAAATTACTGCTTTTACTGTGGTTACTTGTGCAATGACTCACTGTACCTGGCAGGAACTCAACTCAGCGCAACTTTTAGGTGTGCAACTAATTTCAGCAGACCTGCCATTTATTTTCTACATTAATTTCAAATTGCTCAAAACATGTTATTATCAAAATGTCACTGTAGGGTTTTATCCTTTGCTTTTTTAAAATCTTTCGTTATGTAATTTTTCCCTGGCAGTTTGTACCCTGGAAAGGCCCGCTGCCAAACCAGATGCGACTTATATTTGTACTTCCTTTTTTCCTCTGGTTTTTCTGGGTCATCTGTAATAGACAGCTATAGGGAATTTGTGTGATCTGAACCGAACAGAATAATAACAAGAATGGCTATTATTGCTTTGACCTTGTGACTCTGTGTTTGTCATTATGGTGAAATATAGTGCTGGAGACTTAGTTTAGTAAGTCTTTAGTAGGAACAACCAGAAAGGTTGCTTTGAGTACTTTGAGCTTTATGGGAGTTGTTGAAACAAAATAATAATAATAATAATAAAGCAATATATAAAACATCAGCAAATAAAAGACTCATTTTTGTTTTTGTTTTATTAGAATGAAGAAGTATAAACTTATATGATCCTACTTCTCCTTCCTGTCTTCTCGTTCCAAAGTTATACCAGCAAATGATCCGTCAGTGACGCACTCCACACTGATATGTATACGTAAAACATGTGCAGTTATACATCTATACATCCATTCAACTATACTATACATATCTGTACCCTTGGATTGACTCACACTCACAGCCACTTTCTTACACTTTACTCTACACCTACACTTTATCCCAATTTTAATAAATAATCATATTTATACTACATTGAAGTGTTACTAAATAAGCAAACAGAAATAAATCAATATGGCACAGTCTCACCCATGAGTACACACAGTGAAGATGCAAATGATCTGAGAACTCATTTGCATCACTGTTGTAGTTGGTGTGATCCTATTAAAAGCTGGCCACAAGTTTCACTGTCCCGCCTCTTTCAGTAGCGACACCCTAACATTAGCATCCCTAAACTTAAACATTTCTATGGATACGTAGAAAGGAGGAGGTACCATCTCAAAGGAAGTTGAATGCACTACATTCTTCCATTGCTTTTGTCTTTTCTCTCTAGCTAAAGGTGAGACACACCACGCCCAGCCCCATTCCACGCTGATTGCTTCTCCTCCCCACCTGTACTACACCTGTCCTGAAGGTGCAAGAGTCAACATGACGTGCGTCCAGAAAGGTACCCTGCTTTCCCCCAACGATGTTGTGAGGAGCACTTGGCTCTTCACAGCCCACAGTGACCAGCACTGTCATCCAGGAATGGGCCCAAGGAATTTTTCTCACCCACACCGTAACAGCACATTGCCACCAGGAGTGAAGATGGATCGCATGGGGCACAACCACTGGTTGATTCTAGAGAATGTGAAACCTTCGGACCAGGGCCGCTACTGCTGTGGGATTCTAGAATTCAATAAACATAGCTTGGTGCAGAAAGCCTACAACCATGTTATTCTACAAGTTATACCGCGTAAGTATGTCAAACGCTGTGAATGTGCACTAAGGTTATCAATAATATATTTTGCAAGAAGCTCAGGAGCTGATGTTGCTGAACAGTGAAACTGTTTTGACACGAGAGAGAACCGATTTATTTATCTCTTTCCAGCAAGGAAAGGATTTCAGAATTGCACTGTCTGGGATCCCACACCAACTGCAAGTACTGCAAGTAAGTATGAAACATTATTCAGGCCTTCAACCAATAAATGTCTGAGGCAGTTATTTCGTGATGTTATTAAACTCACAGCCTGTCTGTTGCTTCCCTAGGCTCTGTGCCAGTGGCCTTGGCTATAACAGCCTGCATCGTGGCTCTGCTGTCCCTGCCTCTTATTCTAGTGCTCGTGTACAAACAGAGGGAGAATTCACCGTTAGGAAGACGTATGTATTACTGATGTGCACAAACAGCTACACACACACTCACACTTAATTTCCACCTTTGGGCCACATAAGTCTCTCACACTGGACTTCCCATAGTGTTTGTTCTGACACGTTTCCTGTCAGTGAGCTCGATTAACTGTATTTCACACAGTAGGAAGCGCATTCATAGTCTTTTTGTAGTGTTCCGCTTTGTTTCAATTCATTTACAATGGCCCATTTCCTATTTCCTCTCTCCCAGGTGGACAAGAGCTAGTGAGGATGGACAGGTAAGGTTTCCCACAGGCAGCTGATCTCAGCGACCAGCTTCAAAACACAGCTGCTCCTTAGAATAATAGACTGTGAACACGGTGGCCACAACACTTGTGACACAATAGCTAGATTAAACCCACTAGCCTCATTAAAATAAACTAGTTAAAACCATGTATACATTTTTTTTCTTTTGCCATGATGTGTCCTGTATATGCAAATCCTACTGCTAATCATTTAAGTGTAGTGTTAAATTGTCATTACAGAAAATCCCTTATTAAATCCAAAGTGACAAACATGAAACTCTTGCATGTCTCTAGGAAAGTTTTGAAACAGTTTACTGGGTCATATTGAAAGTTGCTCACTTGTAATCATGCTTCTTCTTCATGTATGTGTGTGTGTGTTCAGTGAGGCTCTGGGCCATGAAAACCCAGTGTTTCGAGGGGGATCACCAGAAACAAAGACCCGCACTGTTTCTCAGATCATGACCAGGCAGTCATCCGAGACAGGTCGCCACCTGTTGTCCGAACCGGGAACACCCCTTTCTCCTCCGGCACATGGCGACGTATTCTTCCCAGCAGAAGGTAGGACCCCCCCCACCCTGCCTCACAACTTGTACTCATACAATATTCATGCTGAGACTGAGTCGCTGACATAAGGGACCTTCCACTGGTAAACATCAAAGCCCAAAAAGGCAGTGCAAGTCATCTCACTTTTAGAGGTCATTTACATGGCTTAGTGTGTTATATCTGTTGTTCCGATATTCTTATTGTTGTGAATGAATGCAAATCACTTTGTTCACATTTATTTCACACTCAAAAAAAGAAACACTTAAAAAAACAAAAATGAAAAAGTACCGGGATATGCGTGTAACTGCATTGCACACAAGGGTTTTGCAAGACACCTATATCAAAATGTGCACTCAGTCTGGTAAAAGACTGATGCAATCAAGAACCACTAGTTCTTTCTGTGCTTTTGCTGAAACATCCTGCGTTTGGTGGAAGTGTTGGTGGAAAGATGCTCGTGAATTTGTAGTGCGTAGCTGCACACTCAAAAACAGCTGGGCTGAGTCTTGCATGACTCTGAAAATATATTGTGTAGGAGATTTCATCCCCCCCGCACACACACACACACACACACACACACACACACACACACACACACACACACACACACGAAACCACCCCCTTACACTGTCCTCTTCTTAATTCTTCTCACAAGTCATTCTCCACCCATCAGCACTCTCATTGAACACTAATGGCTCCTTCAGTTGTTCCTTCTGACTCAACTTGAAATAATATTGAAACATTAGACACGGTTAAGGGGTTCAATCCTTAGTGTTTTTCTGCCGATTCCTGGGACACCTGTGCAGACATTCCAGGCATACTGAGGCGGATTGCCCCCATTTCCTTATAGCACGGTTTGAGATGTGCATGGGAAGAGGGTAAGGTACAACTTACTGAGTATACAGCCTTAAGCAACCCATAAAGGTTTCAACACTGTAATAGGTGAATATATGGACAAGCCTTCCTGAAGCTCAAACAGAAATGAGAAACATAAACATAAGGTAAAATTGTGCCATATGCTGCAGTTTTCGCCTCTTCAATCAAACATTATTCTTTTACTGGGGAGCTGGACGCCTTTTCCATTTCTTGGTGTGATCTCTATGTTTCCCGTCTGCAAAGAAAAGTCAAAATTATTGATAAAACCTTCATATGTTCGACATAAAAAACAATATCTTTGACATTTGTCAAGGAGGATTTTCCATGCCGGAGCTCATTTCCTTCAGTGGTCCACAGATGTTATGTTGAAATACACAGCTTCTCATAAGGTTTCATGTTACATGGATGGAGGCCACACTTTAGCTTTCTTCTTCATTTTTTCCAACTTGCTGACCTTAAACTTTGCGGAATTCAACAAGCAGCACTTCCCTGTTATCGCTAGCATGTCGCAACCCAGACCCAAGGCCTTGTTGTTCTGCTTTTTAATGAGTTTTCAGAAACACGAGTAGTTCTGTGGAACTGATCAGTCTCCATGTGTGTCTGTAGTACTCTGAGATGTGGGAGTTATGGAAAAAAAAAAGTTAAAAAAAGGAAATTCTTTCAATTTTTTCATTTGACTTTTGAAAGATCAGGTATGTTTGAGGCAGGAAGTGCACATTTGCATGTTCGAACACCCCCATATCTAATTTTCCACATAACAAAAAAAGGAAAAGAAAAGAATTGTATGTTTGTGTAGGTGGATAGTGATACCTACAATGATTTCTGTGCTCTCACTGACATGCACTGTCTTTGCTTGCAGCTGCCATCCCTGAGTTTCCAGAGTTCCTGTAGGTTTCAAGAGGAGCTGAACCTCAATCATCACTCAAACTGCTGATCTGGAAACAGCCCCGCAACTATCTTCCTCTTCTCTCTGCCTTCAGACGGACGCTCTCCTTCGAGCCATCTCAGAATAACCCCGGATTTTAGTCTGTACATTGTCTGGACCCAAGGAGGGAAAAAAGAAGGCTGCATTTCTTTGATTCATAAACTACTTCCACCTGCAACAACAGCTGCAGGCAAAAAGTGAACTTTGGCTCGTGACGACTTGTTGTGCTTCATTTTACATCCAAACACTGGCGATGGCTTGCAAACCATTCATTCGAATCAGGTACCTCGTTTGGATGAAACACACTGCTTATAATAGTGTTGGCATGTTTTTGATTCCAGCCCTAAATAACTCACTTTGCGTGACTGTCTGTATAATTTGTGTCAGTATTGCGGTTTCTATATGTCAGCAAGCACACCAACCAAAGATCCATGCTATAGAAAATGTGCAGGGGTGGCATGTTGTTTAGGGCAAGTCAAACCCTAAAGAACTCACAATGATTTCTGTAAATTTCCTGTGTCACTCTTGTGGTTTCTTTGTAACTGTAAGGGGGCCAACCGAAGACTTATTGTAAATCTGTCTTTATGTATTTGCTAAATGCACAAGCTGTCTAAGAAACAATCCTATGTAAAAGACCCCACACAAGACTACTTTTTAACTTGTTGATGTTGTAACCTTTACACAAGAAGGCAGGAAGGTTACATCTCCAGGAAGCAAACAGTGTTGTTTTTGTTTTCTTTCTTCTTCATGTTTTTTTTTTTTAAAACCGAACAACTGGTGTGAGGACGACTTAACACCCTTTTCTCCCTTTAGTCATTTGACATAAGCCGTCTGCACCAGCGAACTCTCAATCATCAGAGAAGTGCCAAAGGTCTTGTACAAAAAAAGAACAGTTTTTGCTTTTACAGGCATTATGCTGTTCCTCTGTTTTAACTTGAACTTGCCATGTTTTCTATTTCTTCTTTGCTACCTCAGCTATGCGTAAACTCTGTTGCTTTAAATACTGTCTTTCCTTCCTGTGCTTCCAGAAACGCAGCCCTTCACAGTGGCCTTAAATATTCTCATAAAGTGCTGAAAATTGCAGGAAGAATTTAGAAAAAGCATTCAGAAAAGACGTTCTTGCTTGTGCTCGTGTACAGTTCAATAATTCTAAACAAAATGTTTATTGTTTTTTACTCTTGAATGTAGCTGATTTTTATTAAATAAAGAACAACAACAAAAACCTTAAAACAGTTTAATCACTGCAGTGGAAGTAAATCTTTTATGAATATTTTTGTTTTTTATTTTTTTTATTTGACTGTGGTAAAATATATTGTAGTATTCATTTGTATTTTATTAGTACGTGTGCAATGGGGCTGTTTGATAAATATCAAATATTTCAAGTGAAAGTGCGGGAAAAAAGCTTTAAAATGTTAACCTAAGATCAGTGAACACAACTTGGCTTAAGAGAAGAAGGGCGAACGTATATATGACAGCATTTTTGATATTATTTAGTGTGACTGTAAAAACCACCGGTGGGTTTTTTTCACACTGAGGTGTACAGGAGGTGCTTGGAGGAAATCCTCTCTAGAACGATGTGTAGCAAGTGTACAGTTCGGGTTATTATGTAAAGATGTTTTTATTCTCTAAGAGTTAATGATTGTTTTTTGTGTTTAAATGCTTGTGTTTTCCATTATGCCTGCTTATGTGTGTCTGTGTATGTGTGTTTTTAAAAAAAATCTGGACTGTGACCACATGTTGACATGAGCGCAAACGTTAACAAAATACAAAAAGGCTTGTAATTAGCATGTTTGTTCTGTATATTACCGCTGAATCCTGCTATTAGTGGCTTTTATAATAAAGTGGCACTTTAAAGCCTTGTGTCTCTCAGTTGTTCCTTTCAAATGGCAGGTCTCCAAAACTATTACATTACAAGGACATACTGCACTTCTGTCTGGGGAGCCATCACAGATAGAACAAGGTTGTTCCACTTGTGTGCTTCTAAGATGGTGCACACCAGAGGGAGACCGGCATTGAGGAGAGAAAATGATAAAACAAGCTTAGCATCTTGTTTCATGAGAAAAGACAGAGCTAGATGACTGATAAGTGAAAATCCCCGGTGATGGCCATTGTTCTCTTCCCAGCTTTTTCTCCAGCTTTACATTGACTATTTATACAATGCATTAAAAAAATGTGCATTATTATAGGTGTAAAGTAAATTTATAGCACAAAACTCAAGTACAAGTTACATGACAGTGGATGCCTTTGTGACTCATACAGTACTGTACATTATTCCTTCTGTATAAGCACACAAAGGGGAAAAGAAGAAATGTGAATTGTGGCTTTCGTTTTGACAAAATGAAAGCCATTTAACTTAAAGAGAATATCAAGAAACCACTATATTTGTCTTCCTGCATTTTATATTTGCCATATTTGTGCCTTAATTAGGTCAAGCAGATAAGAAAGCATTAAGCAGACCTTAACAGAACCCGTGTCTCGGACAAGAGTGTGAGTAAGATCAAAACTGTTATGTATAAGAAGCTGAATCCTCTTAACCAGTATTATTCAACTTTACTCATCATCATCATTTGTCCTGAAACTCACCTTGAAATTTCATTTAAGTATATTTCCCAGTTATTATTTTAACATCTATTTCTTAAATATAACACTTACATGTGTTATTTGAGAGCTTATATCCATTATTAGTACACTGAAAATAACCCATCTGTCTGCATACTGCTGGAGCCTATGCTAGGTATCATAGGGGCAAGAGGGAGGGTACACCCTGAACAGGTCGCCGGGCCAACACATGAGTCCAATTTTTAAAAATGGGGTAAATTACAAATCCCCAAATAGCGCTCGTAGGTGTCTGTTTTGTTTTCCCAACACAGCTGCAGTGAGTTTACTTTAATATCAAGTGCCAAAAATAACACATTCTTTTCATCCACTGAGCTGTGGCGTCTGGCAGTACTATTTACGTCACAACACAGATTGCGGCGGCGCTACGTGTTAGTAAATGTGGCCCATAGAGGCAGAACTATTCATGTCTACCTCATGCATGCACACTTACAAACACAAAAAATGGTTAGTTATTTATTATCCTGATGAATTCAGATTCAATACTCTCAGTGATCTGAGAGTAGCTAAAGGAAAAAATTGTTGGAATTGATATTAATAAGATATGTTTGCAGCATGTTGTAATGCCATGCTTACTGCTGTGCCCTACCGACAGAGGTGGCGTGCCGTCATCTTCCACGGTGACCGTTAGTCGGTACTCGGCCTGGCGCTCTCGATCGGGAGGGGATGGGCGCGTCACCATCTCTCCGGTCACTCGGTCCATGCGGAAGGTCAGGTCCTGGTTTCCAGCAGTGAGATAGTAAAACAGCATGGCATTGGGACCGATGTCCCGGTCTGTCGCCATCACACGGACGACTGATGTACCTCCTCCAACGTTCTGCAAAATACATCAAAAAAGAAGCCTTGTTAAATTATGGATCATCTGTGGTAGACTATAATAAAACTTACCAGCTGAATACTATTTCTGTATACACTGACATCACTGGCTTGCTTAGCTTAGATCGTGTGTCGAGTGCATCCCTACCTCATTCACGCTGACGTTGTAGCCCCTCTGGCTCTCAACAACTGGCGCATTATCATTAACGTCCAGTATGTTGATGGTGAGAGAGTGGTCCGTGTGTCTGGGAGGTGAGCCATTGTCAGTGGCACGGACCTAAAACAATACATGTGAACTGATGTGCATTAGAACACAAGCCTCAGCATGCATTTTGATACCTGGCATTAAACCCCACAGAGGATAAATAAACGAAACGCATGCACTTTGAATACTTTATTAAAATCTGTTTTCATTAACATCAATAATATTAAAACATGACGAGTAAATGAAAAACACTTGTGCCTTTTGTCTCTACAGAACAACAGTCTCAAAAAATGTCTATTTGGTTTTCAATTAAAAGCATCAAACATAAGGCCTGGGGGCCAGAATCGGCCCAGCAAACACTCCAATCTGGCCATTGAATGGCTTTGGAAAATGTGAAGTAAGATCTCGGACTTGAAACTGTATTTTCTGAACTTTTTGTACTAAAGAAAGACCTCCCCCATTGCCATTCATCCTAACAAGTGTAATTAATAAACTCTTTAATGGTTAAAAAATTAAAGATGTTTTTTCATAATCTACCACAGAGATTTTTCTTCGAATTAATAAGAACTTCATGTTTTATAATTACTGGACTGTCTGAGTCTAAGCTACCAGAACTTCCTCTGTAATTTTACACGCTTCTTAGAATTTAACCTCAATGCGTCATACTGACCAAGACTCAATGTTGAATTGCACTTCTTTTTCATATACAGAGACATTTCAATGATTTTAATATCTAATTAAACTTCCTAAACAGTGACAGAAATGGGGGTTATGTGTGTGGCCCAACATGTAAAATGTGTTTGGAGTTCCTGGTTAAAAGTATGACAAGTAATTAGTTCATTGTTGCGCTGAATCAGGGATGAGGTGTAAGTTTAGAGCATGAATGTGAAAGAGACACAGGTGTCTGGTAAAACTGTCCTATAGTAACTATAGTAATCTGACCTTCAGTAGATAGCGGTCTACAGACTCCCTGTCCAGAGGAGCATTGACATAAACCTCTCCGTAAGTGTTGTTCACAGTCTTGATCATGAACACATCTTCCATGTTGCCTGCCACCAGAGTGAAATTGACCTGGCAAAGAGCAACAAGTCAGAATGAGTGAAAGAAAAATGGGGGCAGACAGTCACTGACTGAATGTCAGATGATTACTTCTACTTACTGCAACCAAAAATGAGAGTGTGGGTATTTTTAATAGCTTTTCTTTCACATTAAGAAAGTAAATTAAGAAATAAGAAGTGAGAGTCCACAACCTGCGCAGTAGGAAGTAGCAAAAAAGGAAAATGTGATACTGGCAGCTTAAGTTGGCCATCGAGATGCCAAAATCTAAGAGAGCCGATGTGAAACTGAAATAAGTTTAATTTGACTTCTTGTATTGCAATCTGAGGAAGTAAATATTTGTAGTACTAGTGCCAGATTAAGAGATACACAACCTAAAATAAGGGAAACACAAGTTATAAATGTCACATTCACTTTTGAGATGCCGGGAAAGCACGCTTGCTTGATTCAGGATGTGTTAGGAACTAAGAAGTGAAAAAATAAAGCACCATATTTGGGAAGCAACGTCTTTTTTGCTCTTTGTCAGCTGTTAAGTGCAGTAAAACGTAAAGTAAAAGATATGATATTAAGCGCCACACACAGAAGATCTTTCATTATTTTCTGCTGTTTTAAAAAGACCCTCACCAGTCCATTTAAACCAGCATCTCTGTCCCTTCCCAGAACTACTGCCACCTTTGTACCCTTGGGTGTGTTTTCCAGGATGGCGCGTGAAATATCAGATGTGATGTCAAACTCTGGACTGTTGTCATTCTCATCCAGAATGGTGATGGACACCTGTACAGAGGTACGATCGAATGGAGGTTAAATTCCACATTTGCAAAGTAATACTTACCTTGAACATTAAATAAACCCGGGCAAACAAAACATAATGATCACGTTACACAGCAAACGCATTTACTGTTGTACTTAACATTCCCCATAAAAAGAACGTCTTACCTTCTGCAGTTCCAGAGAGGGATGCAATTAATAAAAGAGGAAGGCCATTAGCTTTCTGCGCCAGAATAGACACAAACACATGAAGTAATAAATCCACAAGGCACAATAATAGGAGGGGTAGGCCCGAAACAACACCATTCACAACAAAGGGGCGTACCACAGTGGAGTCCTTTTTGGGTCCTCCATCATCAGCGACAACAGTCAGCGTGTACATATCACCCTTTTCTCTGTCCAGCAGGCCTGTCACTGTGATGCGGCCCTGAAACAACACACAGACACGCATCAGCAGATACGGTAACCATCATAGAGTCCATACAAGATGTAAGTCCCAGTGTGACAGCGACGAAAACAGAAGAAAATTAACAAGTATCACACAAATCAACAAAGGAATCCCCATTTCTCATCTATCAAAGGAATCAAATGACTTCAAAGCACCTAAAGCACTTTGATCAGCTTACAGTCATACAGCAACACGAGTGTTAGCCTAAATCACCGGGGACGAGGTGTTACTGAGTCGCATTGCGGTTAATGGATGAAGCACACATGAAAACAAGGCATGCACACTGTGATCAAATCATCAGTGACCTTTCTTCCACCTCCTCCTCACCGTGACGCTGTCTATCTTGAAGAGGGCTAGAGCTGCGGGCGACGTGTCGGGGTCGAAACGGTACTTCAGCTGGTTCAAGTTGTCGGCAGACTGCGCCTGCACCTGGACCACCTCTGTGCCTGTGGCGATGTTCTCACGAAGCGAAGCCTCGTAACCAGCGGAGAAGAAGGCCACGGCCTCATCCAGCTCATTAAGTAACGTGACGTAAACGGTGCAGAAGCCGCGGTGGAACGGCGGAGCTTGGTCGGTGGCTGAGACGTTCATGAGGTAGGAGGTCTTGGTCTCGTAGTCCAGGTAGTCCACAGTGGTAACCAGGCCGGTGCTTACGTCCACCTCAAACTTGCGGTCTGAGCCGGATACGAGGGCGTAGGCGACGGCTCCACCATCACCTGAACAGCAAGAGAGGAAAAAGGTGTCATTTCAAAGAAAAACAACTTATAATAAAAAGGTGTTTTTCCCCCCACCTACTGTTACTAAGAATAACAACTTTAAAAGTTTGTAACATTGTTTCGATGAAGCTATAGTTACAAAACGTAACCTTTTTCCTCAAGTCTGTTTTTTATTAATCACAGTTGTCAACGCTGCTCTTTTGGCTATATGATGTTTATTTCGGTTTCAGGCCTGATCCTGATCTAATGTTTTGGAAAATGTATGTCACGGCACAAGATGCGTCAGAAGCTGCCTAAGCAACACTTTACCCAACGGGAAGTGAATAAGAGGAAGTTTGTGCCATGGAGCAGAAGTAGTGATTTAAATGCCAATTGCGATGTTTCGTGCGCACCATAGTTACAAAACCAGAGGGGAAAAAAAATAAAGAAGAGGTTGGTTTGTTCTCTTTGTGGAGGCACCCACTAGTGTTAGGTTTATTGATCTGCAAGCTGATGATCAAAGGCACAAGCTATGCTAAATAGCACAGCTAAATATGTATTTCCATTTGGTGTTAGATGAAGAAAACCTGATGCTGAATGGTTATTAAAAAGATCTGGAATCAAACATTCCCTTTTCTTGCCATATTTGAAACCGAACTTACCAGTATCACGGTCAGTGGCACGCACCACAATCACAGAGGTGCCGATGCCAGCGGTCTCTCTCAGGCCCAGACGGTTGTACTGTTGCTGGGTAAACACCGGCACCTCATCATTGGCATCGTCTACGTATATGATCACCTGAGGAGGAGACGGTTCACATTTCCTAAATAAATATATCAAACAGCCACATAAAAGACAATAATTTCACCTCCAAACAAATTGATTATAATGCACATATAATATATTTTTCATCGGATGTGGTTTCTCTGCTTCTCACCCTCACAGAGCTCCTCATGCTGCCCTCATCACTGTTGTACGCCTCCACTTCCAACATATGGGAGCTGCTGGTTTCTCTGTCCAGAGCCCTGAGGCCTCTTGTCACCAGTCCGGTGTCTCTCTCTATACTGAACAGATTGTTGCTGTTCCCTGCATGCATCACAAACACGAGCGCACAGACAGAGAGACAGTGAAAGGAAGGGAAGGTGAGATGAAGCCAAGAGACCTGAACAAAATTGCACATTTAACCTAGGTTTACTGAAGTCCACTGAGTGGGTCATTTCATTTGCTGACATGGCAAATTCAACTTGTTTAAAGAGCCCGTCATCACAAGTACTCTGACTCTTTGGCAAGACCTGACTCATACACACTGAGTAAAGCTAAAGCACAGGAACCAAGAGGAATGATCAAATCAGTGAATCTTGAGAATTTTACTATGTTGACAATTTTCTAAAGAACGTATCTTCACAAAGCTGCCATCACATATTTTGAGACTGTGTTTAAACTTGTAGACATTCAATCAGCGAACAGGATGACCACGTGCAAAGGTTTTCTAAAGGACTGCGACACTTACCAGTGAGGATCCTGTACAGGACTCTCCCATTCTCTCCCTGGTCTGCATCTGTAGCTTGAACCTTTACAGACCAAAAATGAAAAAACAAATAAAGACATCTGCATTGTCTTAAAACATCTGCACAGGATCACGGAACTTAATCAAATGCTAAATAACATGGAAAAGCAAACCAGCTCCGGGAAAGGAAACAGCTCTGCAGTTGTTTTTGCTTTAAAATTGGCAAAGGCACGCTTTAAAAAAAGTGATAGTCTAATGGCAATTATTGCAACTTTATGTGAGAGCTATCATTGCTCAAAACTAAAATCATGACAGACTTAAACAGTTGGATTTGGTTACCACAAGGTTTGAGCATCTCAGTTTTTCTAGTCTCTTTCTCCGATGACAGACAGAACATTTCATATGCATTTTTAATAATTGTCAAGGCAGAGGGAGAAATCTGTATACTATCCCATGCACCACACATTGCCGGGTGCCCAGTGTCTTGTTGCCACAACAACCTCTTCGCAGCTTGGCAGCAATAAACTCTCTCTCTCTGTGTTACAGGCAGATGGCCAGAAACACCCAAAAAAAGCCAATCTCAGCACAGACAGCACGACTCCACAGCGTACACAGATAAACAGTGAAACCTATTGGGATGCTGGTGAATGGGCCATGTCATACGACTGACTTTCTGAATCCAGCATTGTCGCCGGCACTGGATGAGGCCGACTTTATGTCACACCTCGCTTCTCTGTGAATGTGTCAAAATCTGTGGAGGTACCTACAAAGTGCAGACTTAACTGCACACAGAAGAAACGCTCATTCAAGCACATTTACATGTGCAGTCAGGTGCACGCATATAGTGAGACCCACACTCTCGCGGTCTCTGTCTTGCCCTGTGTGTCCTCCTTTGCGCGCTCTCACTCCCTCCGTGAAGAGGGGCCCAACTTCAGTCTCATTAGTTTTATAAAGAGATGTAGAGAGGAGAGGAGAAAGAGGAGGTGAGGGGAGGGGGAGACGGGAGGAAAAAAAGTGGCTGGGGGTCAGATTGGTGAGTGATGAATAGGGCACTACACAGTGGAATGCACCACTTGGTCCATAAAAGGGGGTGCATGAAAGTGCAAGACTACATTGCGGAGCCAGATGTTGGAAGTGCAACCGTGTGGTGTAGACGCACAGCTTTTTTTAAAATCTAAGACTGTGTGTGACTGACAAAATATTTTATTGTCTTTGGCTCTGTGTCATTAAAGCAGCTGAGACGTATTACTTCTGTGATGCTGTTCCTGAGACTTTACCCCCTTTTCAACCCCGTTCCCCTCTTCCTCCCCAGCGTTTCCCCCTCTGTTTCTGGGAAAAGCCGTAGTTTGAGGGGGGAAAAACAAGAGCGTGCAGTTACAAAGTGTGGATCTACAAAACAGATCTGACCTCAACTACTGGAACGAAGCAAAGTTCTGCTTTAAAGTCTCCAAAGTGTCAGCGTGAGTATATATTTTCAAGGGATTTCAGCGTCAATATTAATTGCTAAGAATATACCACAACAGTAAATTATTGAAATCACTGGAGATGTTATATTGCTAGAATTCATTTTGTTTCTACTAGAAATTAATTATTAGTGAAATTGCGTGCACAGTCAGTTAAATTTGCAAATGTGAATCTGACAAACAAAGCGTGCTAGAAAAAAGTTTTGTTGGTTTCAAAACTAGCTGAGTAGTCAGATCTGGAGGAGCAACAATGTGGGGAGAAACAGAGGGAGAGCACCTTAGAGCCAGGCTGCCGAGCTTAAGAACAGCGCGTCTAATCACGAATATGTGCAAGCTACAATATGTGTGGGTGAGAAAGAAAGTTTGTGTTTGAATAGCTGTGTGTTTGTGTGTGTGCATGCATGCGAGTGCGGCGTATGTGCTTGGAGGCGCTGACTAATGAACTGACTCTCTAACGAGCCATCCTGCTCCACTGGCCTTTTCACAGCTTTCCTGGCATTTGGTCTTAAAAATAATTTCACGTCCCAATGTGTTTCCCTTAAACCGATAAGCCATGCTTTGTCTCCACTGAATTAAGGACGATGACATTTACAAATGTTACTATGCTGAAGATGGGAGGGAGGGATGGGGGTGGGTAATTGGAGACTGGGGTAGAAGAGGTGGGTTCCTTGCATTTTACAAGAGGGCAATTTAATAAACCCAATTTGTTTTACATTGAGGAAAGCCTGTCAAGCATTGACTGTTTTGTAGTCCTTGATTTAATAGCTACATAATTGCCGCAAATGCCAAACAGTCCCTGCATCTGGCTGTGCGTGCAGGCGTTTCTATGCATATTTGTGCATGTGTGTCATTGTGTATAATGAGCTCTTGAGTGTATGAGCCTAATTAAGCAAAAACATGAGAATAGGCCTAAAATAAACCTAGTCAGCAAAGTTAGGCTTGGCTGGAGATGCAAGCACGTCAAGAGAGCTGTTATGGCACTTTGATGGAGGCTGACCACACACACAGACACCCATACACACACACACACATGCATACACTGAAATTAGCCAAATAGACTAAAACCAACACTCACACAATCTCTGAAACATCCTGACTAATATAGCTTTCTCCTTCCAGAACCGAGACAATATGAACACCACTGATCCGGGCTCCAACGTCACCTTTACTTCTAACACAGAAAACATCACTCTGTCCACCCTCACCACCACTGCCACCTCTGTCACCATTCGACAGCCCCCATCTTATTCTTCAGACATCCACGACCCAGAATTCACCATCATGGTGGTGCTGGGGCTGTCGCTGCTGCTGGCAGGATTTGCAGCCTTCCTGGCAGTGTGCCGGCCCTCTGAACAGGACGGGGACTCCGAAGCGAGCTGCGGGCCAGGGGAGAGTTCGACTCGTAGAAGGAGGACGTCCAGCGAGCCCCAGCTGAAGGTGTGGAAGAGGCTGGGCTCGTATCGGCGTTCGTACAATCTCTCCTTCAGACGGCCGCCTCATCGCAGGCCGCAGGAGCGCGAGAGCACACGCGCTCCCCTGCCTCCAACTCAACAGACAACACAGCCAGAGGCCAGCGGAGAACCCCACCTCACTGTGCCTTGTCTATTCGACTATGTTACCGAAATCTGACTTGAAGAGCACCTGAAGGACGATTGACTGTGCAGCAAACATCACTAATACCAGGAGAGAGTGAAGAGTGCATTTATAGTATTTCTCTAACCTTCTTTGAATGCTAGGTGGAGGAAACGCAGGAAAAGTATTTAAAATGTAGATAATCAAAAAGCATATTTTTGTTACTGATCCCAGGTTGAAGTTTGGATCACAGGTGATCTTTTTCATCACAGCTCTGTGCTATAGTCACAAGTGACTTTACAGTGAGCAAAAGAAATCAATACAGAAAATTTTAACACAAGACACCAGCAAAACGACTTGGAGGCGAAAATTAAGCCTCAGATGACAGAATATCACTTTAGTCTGTTTCTATATTTTCACTCAAATTCAAGCATCGCTACCCAACATCACACCTCTTGTTGCTCTGATGCACCGAAACCCATCCATCTGGAAATTCACACACCTTAAGACAAACACAGTCACGCTAGTCTCAGATTATGGGGGGACTCCCTGTATGGACAAGAAGACAAATGTAACTCAAGCCAAAAAGAGATCACTGTAACTCACTCAGTGTGTTTTAAGGAAATAAATTTGAGTTTTAAATTCGCTAACAGTGCCATTTCTGTCAGGATGTGTTTTGCAGTATATATGAGCGTGTGTTTGTGTGTGGTCGTGTGTATTTTTCACCTGAAGGATGCTTGTTCCTCGGGGAACACTTTCCAGTATGCTGGTCTCGTAACTGTTTTGGAGGAAGATGGGTCTGTTGTCATTAACGTCCTGCACCTCGACGAACACGGTAGCCGTGCCTGTCCTTCGGCTGCCAGCCGGACCGTTGTCTATGTGCAAAAACAAACACGTTTGCATCAGTTTCAAGGTTAACATCAATTTTAGACATTGATAACAGAAACAGACACACTCACTGACACAGACTAAATAATCTATTAATCCTCCTAAAAGAGATTTTTTATATAATATACTTGACTCATTAAAAACTGGGTCATTTTCAGCTGAATGAGGACAATGTGCACAGTTTTACATTATCTCTGCTTCTTCTCCCAGCGCTGGCGTCTCTGGCCTCTTCAGCAGATAAGCTACCCCCACTCAATGCTTTCCAAAACAGGAAAACCTCCGAGTTTTTGTTCTTTTTTTTCCACACAGGAACAAAGGCAGTTGAGCAATGGTCTGAAATCACTGCAGATGTGCAGGCAGTTTTTTTTCCTTACACCATTATCATGCATGCACAAAGAAACAAGAGCAGCTTTGAAGATAAACCACATTATTTAAATATATATATAAACACACAGTATGTAAAAATGACAAAGACAAAAGATCAAGTTTTATGACACACCTATAGCTTCTATGATCAGAGTGTACGCTGCTTGCGTCTCTCTGTCTAGACCGACCACTGTCCGAACAATGCCGTCTCTGAAACCCACGCTGAATTTACCATCCTGATTACCATCTAAAAATGAAAAGAAGTCACAGTTTTAGAAATTAAGCGCATTAATATCTGTACGTAGTAAAAGGCACATGCAAAGGAGCTCAGTACATACACAAACTCTCACATGCATGGATGGATTGAAGGAAGGTACGGGTGGCACACAAAATCTCCCGTGGCTTTAAAAACTTTAACTCAAGAACACAGAAAAACACCTCCCACCGTGACCTCTGACCTGTGATGAAGTAGCTAAGTTCAGCGTTGAGACCCTCGTCGTTGTCAAAGCAGCTGAGGCGGGCTACAGTGTGGTCTCTAGGGACACTCTCCTTCAGGGAAACATTGTACACGCGAGGGTTGAAGGTGGGCGTCTCATCGTTTACATCCAGAACTGACGCACGCCACACACAGAAAGACACGAGGACACACGGATAGATGCACATGAGGACAAATAAAGGCAGCAGGGTGGTGCAGTGAGTAGTACATTTTTTTTTCCTTTTTGCCTTTCTTGCTCAGGTGTCCTGTTCTCTGGCTAATGGCAGCAGATTTTCCAATCTTCTTCAGTCACATCCAGAGCAATCAGCCCAGTCCCCATTTGGGGTTTTACAAATCCCACCAGCAGGTGGCAGCATTTTATTCAGCAGATGTTTGAGAAATCAGAGGTGGGCTATTTGCCGTAATGAAGCAACTCTTTATTATTTCATTATTTTGGTTTTCAACTTTCCCATTAGGGTAATTTCAGAGAAAGCAAAGGTAAATTAAATCTGAATCTCTCACCTATGACAGTGAGGGTTGACGTAGAGGTACGAGGGAACTGTCCTGCATCATATGCAATTATCCTCAATTGGTACTGTTGGATCCGCTCACGATCCAGGACTGCTGATGAGGTGAGGACGCCAGTGGAGATGTTCAGGTAGAAATCGAGGCGAGGCATTCCCATCTGTAATGCTAGTGTAATCAAACCATTCTTATCTTCGTCAGGGTCCTCAACCTGGATCTACAGAAGAAAGAGAGGAAGCGATACAGAGAAAAGAAAACCCATAGAAGATTACTCACAGGGTAACAGATAGCAGATGGTGAATAAAATGTGGTTAAATTGTGTTTATTTTAACTGATTAAAACGTATTATTAAGTGTTGCAGTGTTATTTGGCAGTCAAGTCTTTTAAAAAAAGTGAGAAATTCCTTTAGGACTTTGTGTTTCTGTCTGTCATCGCCTATCTTCACTAAATATGGTGATAATATAATCCTCATTTAAAAGTTGGGACAGAAAATATAAATAAAAAAAGAATGAAATTACTTTGACATTTAATAATTCCAAATTTAATCACAATAAAATGCAGGAAACACAACAAATATTTAAATTGTTAAAATTGACCATTTTGAGAAACGTGTATATGGATAGATAGAAACATATATATATATATATATACATATATATATATATATATATATATATATACATATATATATATATATATATATATATATATAAAAGAATAATAAAAAAAATTACACATGACATATAATGTAATTGCAAGGAGGTATTTCTGTAGTCTATTGATTACTAGATAGTGGAAAAGGGGTGGGATTAAATAAGCTTATGCTTCTTCCTGCTCCTTTTTGAACATGAAAGTTATTTGTAGTTGTGGTTGATTGTTTTACTTTTGTTTTGCTTTGTTCATTTGTCTCCTTTAATTCTATGCTGCTGTACTTTTTCAACATGTTCAAAATAAAGATTCAATCAAAAAAATCAAAAATCAAAAGTGTAAGCTCATTTTGAATTTGATGACAGCAGCAAGATTGTTGTTGCTCAAGACTTCTGAGTATTCTTTGTCCTATTTTTGGTTTGTGATGATTCAAAATGATTCATTATGATTCATGATGTTTCATGATTTTTCATCTTGTCCGCACTCTTCTGCTCTGAAGCCGTACTGTTGTATGACATTAACTGCGGTTTAGTATTGTCTTGCTGAAATATGGAAGGCCTTCCTGGATGTGAGCATGTGTCGCTCTAAAACCTGAATATACCTGTCGTCATTGATGGGGCCTTTCCAGATGTGCAAGCTGCCAAGCCATTAGGCACTAACACAGCCCCATACCATCAGAGATGCAGACTTTTGAACTGAGCACTGATAAGAAGCTGGATGGTCCCTATAGCGGCAACCTTCGGTCCTTCTTTGGCGCTTCTGCAAAACGTAAAGTTTCTGACTCGTGCTCTTGTTAAGTCTCTTGGATGCCTTCCGGTAGCAAAAAACGAGGCGAAGGAAAAAAGGGGCAAAATAAATGTTTTGCCCCTTTTTTCCTTCGCCTCGTTCTTTATCCTTCGATTTGTAAGGAAAATAAATGTTTTGCCCCTTTTTTCCTTACAAATCGAAAGGTACAAAACAAATGCCTCTGGTGGGAGCTCCGTTTATATTCCCTTTGTGTTACAACAAAAAATGACATTAAAACGGCGACGGTCAGAAAACCGTTGCTCCACGTCCTGCTTGCTTACCTAACCTTTTACCCACACCCCTCCGCATGCGGGTCAAATACACACCCCCTTTACGACATCCACCAACACTTTACAACAACAACAGACTAACAAAGCAGGATTAATTTATGGAGCACAGCATATTACATTATAACCTAAAATGATCAAGATTATAATAAAAACTTAAAGATCATGACAAATACTTAAATATGGCATGATGTAACTGAGTAAAATATTGGCCTGGACTTGGCTCCAACAGTCCCTGTTCCCTTTAATCCAAAGGAGTCAGTATCCATGTTTTACAAAAGGAATTTCAAATTTCAGTCAGTTTGACCACAGAACAGATTTCCATTTTCCCTCAGTCCATTTTAAAGTTTTGCCTCAGAGAAGATGGCAGTGTTTGTGCATCATGTTCACATACGGCTTCTTCTTTGCACGACAGAGTTTAACCTGCATTTGTGAATGAACCTTGTAAATGCAGACCTGTCTGAGGGCCTGGAGATCATGGACTGCACAGATTTTTAGAGACTTTTAATGATATTATGCACTTTAGATTTTGATATATTCAGTCTGCACAATGCTTCATCAAGGAAGATTCATCTGAAAATCTTCCACAATTTGTAGAGATAATTTACCAATAGTACCAGTAGTCAGATGGTAACAAAAAGAGGGAAATTAGTCCGAACAGAGGGGATTGCACTACCAGAAGGCAACATTGTAGACATCTAAAAAAGCTACAAGTACCTGGAAATTACAAAGGGAAATGGGAATCATAAAGAAGCCATTAGGAAAACTGCACCCCCCAAATACCTGCAGAGAGTAAGGCAAGTCCTGAAGAGTCAGCTGAATGAGAAGTAGAGGATCTGGGCAATCAACACCTATGCCCTGTCACTGATCAGATACCCTGCTGGGATAATAAGCTGGCCAAAGGAGGAGGTAGAAGCTACTGACATCAAGACAAGAAGCCTCCTCACCATGCATGGATTGTTTCAACCCAAATCCAGCACCTATGCACGCTAAGCGAACAGAAGGAGGCCGAGGACTAGTGAGTGTCAAAACCAGGATGTCCAGGATGAGACAACAAACATCCATGAGTACATCAGGAATATGACCACAACCGACTGCGTGAAAACCTCAGCCAGAGAGAGTGGTAGGGTCCTCAAAGAGGACCTGAGCTTGAAGGATAAAGACCACCAGCAGGGCGAGAGGGGAAATTCTTAGATTTTTACACGTCCTAGTGCATTACTGGGTTATAAAATGAAATCCATGTAACAAATTGTAAGGAAGGATTTATGATAGGACAGAGCATAAAATAAAAAAAGTGACTAAATTAGTCACTAAATAGTATTAAATAAAACAATAGGGATTAAACAAACTTACGCTTCTCCTGAGTCCTTTTTGAACATGACTATTATGATTTTCACTATTAATTTTTTCCTTGCATCATTTTAACATGTACAAAATAAACCCCAAATGCAATGGAATACCATTTTACAAAGCACCAGTCTTTTATTTTACCCTAAAAAATGAGGATCCAATGGGAAGTCCCTCAGGTACTTCAGCCACAGATGGCAGATTAAGGAAGGTTGGGTCATTGTCATTGAGATCCAGCAGGTTGACAAGTACTGTGGTGCTTGCTGATGCACGCAGTGGAGGTGTACCACCTAAAGAGGGCGCCAAAGGGATAGATAAAGATATATGCACGCACACACACACACACACACACACACACACATACACACACACCATATCTCATGGTCAAAGGAGTTTATTAGCCACCGTAAAGAGTTTCATGGTCAACATAAAACTTTAGGAATGAGGCTTGGAGGAAGAGGCTCATCGCTGAGAACTGAAAACTATAACGTGATAATGATACATTACAATTTAAGCTTGCTTTTGGATCCCCTGTAATTAATAGGAGCATTTTACAAGCACAAACCAACATCATACTGCAACACACTACTCACGGTCGACAGCTGACACGACGATAGTCCTCATAAGAACCGTGTCCCTGGGGTTTGTGCTTTCCCTGTCCAGTGTTACCCCACTGGTGCGGATCTTCCCAGTACTGCTGTTGATGGTGTAGAAAGGATTTTCTGGATTGATACTGTATATCACTGTCCCATTCTCCCCATTGTCAGGGTCCACTGCCAACACCTGGACACAGAAACCAGTAAAGAAAACCCTTTACTTTCATTTGCCTGAGCTCTTCAGACAGCTTCCTCAAAACCGTTTACTATACACACATATATCACCCACATATAGAGATATATAAAAAGCTAAATTAGTGGTTTACTTTGCAAAAACAACTTAAAGATGAAGGGATGATCTGCAACAGAACTTTTCTGGTGAAAAAAGAAAGGAGGAAGAGGAAGGAGGAGGAACAAGAGAGGGAGGGAAAAGAATAACAGCAGCTGAGCATCGTGTACAATTCCTTTCAACTTTCCGAACACATCAGTCAGCTAAAAGAAAAATAGTAATGTCTCATTTTGTGACACAGAGTTGCGATGGGTGATGAATGCACGAAGCCGGGAGCCCAGCTAAAGCACAGGCTGATTTTTAAAGAGCTGATCAATTATTCAAAGCGCTGACTAAAAATGCTGGAAACTGGTTAATTGGTCATTAGAGGAACAAAGGTTTTGCAGGTATTTAATTATTAAGGGGACATGGTAGGCAGGCATCTCAGAGCCTCATTGATTAGCAACTGCACAGACAAAGGCAGGTGATATAAGACAGGGAGAAGTGCCTGACCGGGGCCCGTTGAAATGATCAATTCTGGCCCGAGCAGAGCACATTAAAAGATGGAGAGCAAATATATTAGCCTTGTCTATTGAACTGTGGTCCTCGTCTGACTGCAGAGAGGCAGAAAAGGGAATATTGTTTTGAAAGGCGATCTTCGAGGAGGCTTACGGTGTGTGTGTGTGTGTGTGTGTGTGTGTGTGTGTGTGTGTGTGTGTGTGTGTGTGTGTGTGTGGAGGCTGCAGCATTGATGGTGGGGTTCTCTGAGATTTGAGTGGGCTGATCCTTGCACTGGACACAGCGGCCAAATTCATCGGCTCACTGGACACCTCCAGGAGGACTCAGCAGGTGGCCTCTTGTCACCATGGAAACACTGGCTGGGCCAGGGATACACTGGGGCCAATTACAGGACTGTAAGCCTGGGTGGTCAGATTTATTGAAAAATGGTCAGAGGAGCAACTGTGTCTGTCCACTGTGCACATGGAGACACATACAGTATGCAGCGCAGTGCTGGATGCACCATGAAAGAAGTCAACTGATGAATAACTACAGGAGATTAGGAAAAAGTGGCAACATTTTAGCAGTGCAAAGCTTATCTACCATTTCTTTTTCTCCACCGTTTCTTCATTTCACTTTTTTTTGCACTGCAAGATGGGTTCTTGCTTATTTCTCTGCGTAGAAGCTGAATAATTTGCTTTGCGTATGACTGCGGGCTACATTTTAATTAGCAATTGGACTCCCTTAATTACACTCACTGACGCCTCTTTAATTAATGGACAATCAGGGCTTAATTAACAACAACACATTGCCAAAGACACCGGCAGGACAATGAGAGTTTGGGCTAATAGAGGAGTTTACTTTGTGATGACCTATGCATGACGGCCATTTGTCCATCGATAGCCGAGTATGTAAGCAGATCTATATTTCAAATGTTGTTCTTCAGTTAAAGCAGAAAAAAATGGATGATTCAATCTTCACACTTTGATCACTCTGTATCTGACACTGAGTATTTTTTTAAAAATTAAAAACACATCTTTGGCATGCGTTTTCAAAATCAGATTAATCAAATTAAGCTGCAAAATACTGATTCAAAACAGGAAAAAAAAAAAAACGAATCAAATGACAGCAGTGCACCAATCAAAAGATATAAAAAATTCAGTAACTTACTTCTAAATTCATTCACCACCCGTCCTACACGAAACTACTCCAGGACCACAGTACTGACTTTCAAAGTAATTGCAGTCCCAACATGTGCAAAGTTCAGGCTTTTGCCCCCTTTTAATATTCTCGACCTAATTTCAAGTGTTTTTTTTGCTGCTATGGTACAGGACGTTTTTGAAAAAATATATAAAAAATATTCAAAAACATGTACATGTGTTCAAATGGTTAGAATTTCTTACTGTAATGTTAATAAAAAAAAGTCAAATTAGTCAAATTAGTCTGAAAACCTAGTGTTATTTTAAATAGCTCTATAATAACTCTCCTTCAATCACCGTGAAGGAGAGGTCAGAGGTCACACCCCACTCTACACCCCTAAAATATCAGAATTGATGTAATTGTGTTTACAGACAGAATGACACACATGCTAGTGAAAACATAACCGCGTTGGTGGAGATAATAAACATGTAATTTTAGTATTATTATTACAGTGTGCCAATGTTACTATTAGTAAGACCACCTAATGAATCAAGTTACAAGTTGGGCTAGAGACACTCACAGAGATGACATCAGTGTTGATAGGACTCATCTCAACTACGTTGGCATTATATGGCTCGTCTCGCCACATGGGGGCATTGTCGTTGATGTCCAGGATGGTGATGTTCACCTAAATTCAGCAGGAGAGGGAAATTATTGTCATTAACTGACTATACTGATGCAATATGATGAGCCAAGTCCGATTACTAGTACCTCATAGCTTTTATACTACAGAAAAAAAACATGCCATGGAGCGTCTATGCTGACGAAGCAGAATTTATTGATGTCAAATTATTGGTTGATGAGTGATATAAAATTGTTACCGTGGCAATCCCAGTCTTCTGCTGTGGGCCCACGCCTCCATCCACTGCTCTGACTATCAGGATGTACTCTGACTTCAGTTCACGGTCAAGCAGTGCTGTGGTAGTAATCTCTCCTGAAACACACATGGTATCAGATCAAAAGTGCCAAGAAAGGAAAAAGAAAACAACAAGAACAACAACAGCACACACTCAGAGAGTGCAAACCCCCGCAGAGACAGCTCACTTTACTTTAGCAAACAGTATTATATTTTATATGTATTCATTTTGTTTTATTTGTTCTTATTAAAGGTACTTTAAGAAGTTTGTAGAGTAGTAAAAAAAAGATTTCTTTTTCTTTTGATGAGGATCGCTGTGGACACGGGGTGCAAGCCAGTCACAAAGTGCACAGAAGCAAAGTAACCAAAAAAAGGTTGTGCATACACAGATTTAAGTAAGCCATCACTTCCAGCATGATCTTACAGTCAAATCTAAAATCAGTTTTCCCTGGTACAAAGACACACCATGCACACACATGTACCTGAGCGTGAGTTGAGACGGAACTGAGAGGAGCCCTCCAGGGAGTAGATGAGTGAGGCCTGGCCAAACTCCCGCGAGGCGTCCAAATCAGTAGCATTCACAAGCAGCACAGTAGCCCCTGCAGAAGGGGGGGGGGGGTTAGACATAAAGAAAGTTACAACTCACTGAAGTGAGAGACAGTATCATGGAGAAAACATGTGAAGTCTAGGAAAAGGGAAAGAAGGCAGGGATAGACGAGCAGCAGAGACAGACTGAAATGGCAAACACAGAGCTAGTGTCTTCACCGCCCCCATCCACAACTCGACTGATGGCATGACAGTGAGTGGGTTTATGGATTAGTGGATTATCAGCTTGTTTGGCACAGCCCATACTTGGCACAGACTTGATCAATACCCTGGCAGGCAGAGGGGATGAGAGGCTAGCCAGAGCCGCAGGGTTAGCCCTGAGCGCAGCCTTGCATCCCAAGCCTCGGGCCTTCAGCTCAGGGCCAAACACTTTAGACATAGTCTCCTAAACCTCGAGCCCCGGCCCAAGCAGCTCAGCTATGCGCTCCTTCAAAATCGGGCCCGAGGAATAAAAACTGGCCAGGATCTGGCAGAACTCGAGACAGAGAACAAGGCGGTCAAATATCTCATTTCCCTCTAGCGACTGGAAACTAATCTATTGTCTGGGATGAAAGAGTCTTTTGAATGCATGCATGAGAATGAATATAGCATCCAGTGATTTCCCTTGAATAGTCAATATCCTATTCTGACTGAGAATTTTAAAACATTATGCAAAATCAAAACAAATAAGACAGTGCAGGCCAGAGGATGGAAATAAAATAAAACATTTTAAAAAAGAAAAAAAAAAGGAAACACAGCCCCAAGACAGCAGAGCCATTTGTTGTATATCCTAATAGTAAGGCAATTCGAGTGAGTGGTGACTGTATGTGCAACACATGGTGTTTGTCTGGAGTGTTTAAGTGCTGTGTTGGCTGCGCCGACCAGAAAAATGTATTCTAGCAACTAAACTGTAACCCCAAACGTATGAAATGACTCACCAGCGATAATGTTCTCGGGGATTTTGATGATGTAGGACTGTTTGCTGAACTCGGGTGGGTTGTCATTTTCATCCTGGGGGAGGTACAAACATCAACAACAGCTTGAGTCAATGTGCTAAACAATGAGAAAATGCTAATGTTGCTTAAAAAAGAAGAGTTGCTGAAACTGTCGTCACACATTAACACTGAGATTAGCAAATTTGGGAATTAAGACAGTGAGAAGCACAAACGTTTTTAATAGCATCAGTGCTGGTGGAATCTCTTTGAAGATGGCTACTGAGCTGAAAGACCCTATAATATATTATTTTATGACTTCAAACACTTTGTCATGCCGGCTGCTGTTTTCACTGTCCAATCAGAAACTATTTTGTGGCTACTACACTAACTATCCCACCAGTGAATGCAATGTTAGGTGTTTTGTGGCTTTAGGAGAAAGAAAGTAGGCTGGACAATAAGTGGATTGATGCTCAAGCTGAGGTAGATATTAAAAAAGAAGACACTGTTGCAACAATATATGAGAAAATAGTTAGAAACATTATTATTATTGCTTCTAATGGCACTGCCTGAAGCAAAAGAGTAATCAGGGCCTGTATACTGATAGGAATCACGGACTAGAGCGTGCTACAGCTTCTGCTGAAAAACAGACTTTGTAAGAGTATTTACATTTCCTCACAACCTCCCACTCGCTGAATTAGACTATTTCACACCAACACATCCAGTTGTGTGGCTATTCACAGAGAGTTTCCCCACTGTGTGAGCCGCTGAGAAATGTTAACACTTTAACAACAGTCACTGGCACTATTATCTAGCTGGGCTCTGTGCTACGCTGGCGCAAAGCATTGTGTGTATGTGATGCTGCGAGCCACTGATAAACCCCTGTGGTGTGAGTCACGACACTGTGGAGGACAGCAAGAGAGAGAGAGAGAGAGAGAGGGAGAGCATAATGAATTTGGCACATCTCTCCCAGTTGTTTTACACAATATTTCTCTCTCTTGTAGGATGTGTACAGATATGATTACTGTCCGTGCATATCAAAGAATATTCCAACTGGATTCATCCATTCTACCGCCATTTTTTTCCCTCTTATGAACAAAAGGTTTCATGTCTAATTGATGGCTATCATGGGAAATGAGCTTAAGAGCCAGCAGAGAGACTGTTTATTAGTGTTGGGTTGTTCGTTATATTTTTACAGCTGTATTTATTGCACCTTAGCAAAGGTCAATATTCATTCTTTTTTTAGTCAACAAAAATACAATATTACACCTACAACCTGATTAATGTGAGAATTTGGACACATATTAGACAGCTTTCTGTGACCACAGTTCCAACGCGAGTCGTCTTGAACGTGCAAGCATGATGTCATTACTGCCTTTAATTAGGACATTTGAACGACCTCCGTTCACATCAGCATTCAAACATGGTTCAAAGATAACTTAAAAACCCAAAAGCATCATGAAATGAAACCATATAGGTGAAAATTTCCCGTGCATAGCATCACAATACGGTCTGTCCCACGAAACAAAAGAGAATTCTTCATGTACACATTTGCAGGGAAACATGCATCAAAAGCTCTGAATCACTATCTTGTAGGATCAGAACCCAGAACCTCATGCAGAGTGTTTTCTTTCCTCCATCCTTTAATATATTAAAACATCTGTGATGCAGTGCGGGTGCGAGTAGACAGCTGTGACTTTTTCTAGTGCCTCAAAATAAGACATTTACTGATAAGACTGACAAGCGAACTGGAAGCTCAGATAGCTGCACAGACTGCGATAAAGCTGCAGACAAAGTTGCAGTGAGACACGGGTTAAAAGGATTGAGAAGGTAAACAGTGAAGGAATACTGAAAGCAATATGTAAGTCAGAAACATATGAAACAATCCACCAGATGAGGCTGGTGACACCTGTCACAAACTGCAATGTGGATTTTTATAAGTATAAGGAAGCTCTGTGTTCATTCACTACATATGATATAAGAGCTCTGTGGGCTTCTTTCCTATTTTTTAAAGGGTTTGACAAAAGTGTCTTAAAAGTGGGGAGACTGTAAGGATTTCTGTCGCAGGGTCTGGAATTAGAAAGAATCTCAGCTTTGATCAAAATAGTTACTATATAAAGAAGTTATTTACGTTGTGAAATATTAGTTGCAAATAAAGTCAATAAATGGGCATCTTTAAGTCTTAATGAATTACATGCAGGTTCCACATCAGCTAATCTTAAGAAAGAAAACAGAGGTTGAAGGCCGCTAGGGTACTAGTAACTTTTTTAAAGTTGTGTTTATAATCCTAAAAGTGCCAGCCGCTTAAGCATGCTGCACAATGGTAATGGGGAAATGCATGTTTTCTCTGATAGATTTAGCATTACTAACCTCTGTGACCTCTGTGCAAGCACTCTAGTTACACTGAACTGTTTGAGCCCTCTTAGACCTACCTTTCAGGTTTTATTTCCTGGAACAACTAACAAACCCCTGAACCCAGAACAACTAAACTTCAAATCACATCTGCTTGCGGGTTTGCTGTAAATAACTTTGGAAGAACACCATTCAAATGTATTTGACATCCCGGGAAAAGATGCCATCCCGTTGGTGATAATGTGAGGTCAATAACATTTTTAGACATAAGCAAGGCTTCATAAAAGCTGCTATATGCCGATGGACAGTACATAGCAAGACGTGACAGTTGTTGCTTAAGGTCATTAGTCTTCATCTAAGAGAATGTACAAAGCACCGGATGGTAGAAAACGTTCACAGCTTGAATAAGGCTGCATACTTGTGATGTTTATATTTGGGTTATGCAGGTGGAAAACATGCTGAAGATTTAACCAAGTCAAAAGCTGTGTACTCGCAAAATACTGCTCTGTGTCTGCATTTGTTGACAGCTGTCAGCAAAAACTGCAGGAGGAACTGATACTTGAACCTCCAGTTGTGGCTGTGTGTCATTAAGTTGTTGCTGTTGTGTGTATGTTGCAGGGTTATACTTACAATCACCTCCACCGTAACAGGAACAGTGCTGTTGAGGGCTGGATTTCCCCCATCTTTGGCCATCACTGTCAGATAGATCATGCCCTTGGGAACCATCTCATAGTCCAGAGGTCTGATGACACTGATCACTGGAGGAAGGTGCACAAACATCACATCTTAGTAAAATTGCTGGTCAAATAATTATTATAATCCCAAATAATCCAAGCAAAAACTTACGTATAAACAATCCTTGGATATCTAATCTGTTTTTAGCTTAACGCGCACACTCTTAAACTCAACCACATCTGCGTACCTGCGTAACCTTCCACCATGATGATACGGAAGTAATCAGGGAAGGCCGATGCTGAAATGATGGTATATGTCAACACGTTGTTGGGAGGAGAATCTTCATCTGTAGCCTGTGATTGGGCACAAGGTGTGCGAGAGTAGACGATGTTAGTGACTTGTGGCTCAGTAGGCCTTTTTATACATCTGGTGTGTCTTAATGGTGGCAGACGTAATGCTGGAAGAGTGTGATAGCATGCTGCCTTAGCGGAATCAAAGGTGTGCTTTGTGCACAAAAGCTTCAGCTTTCTGGATCTGCTTTCTACACATGCATACAGTACATTACCACCTCCACTGCCGGCTTCAGGGCGGTACCTCAAAGCACTCTTATTTTGCCTTTTTACCTTTTATATGGAGCAGTGAGGTGTAATAATGGTGGGGTTTTCCCACCTTGAAAAGGGAGTGCAAAAGAAGCTATTGACAGGCAAAGTCTCGCAGAGTGCGATGGGACAGATGTTGCATTAGACAGTGATAATATTTATGACTATATGTCTGCACAGCATGGGTGTTTTTGAGTCTGAGTGTATATGTGCAGCCAGGAAAGTGTCAGTCAGCGTCGATATGTTATTGGACAGATTAAAGCTGATTCTGGCTATTAGTGGCGCAGGCGTCAATACTGGATGAACACCAACCGAGCCTAGACAAGCCAAGCAGGCAGAGGACAGATGAAACCGTACTTTGCAGGTCTAATCCACAACAACAACAACAACAATGATGACACCCCCTCATTATTCTCGAGTTGGCAGGAACTTAAACACGAGTCCTCCGGCTGTGAGGGGAGTCTACTGGGCCCTCACTGGCATCATTAGAGGCTGGACAGGCTGTCAAAAACACTCACTTGTTTCCCTCCATAACACAAATCTCTCCTCTTTGATTTAACGCCAGAGTGTTGAGTAAGCAATACCTTTCTTCCCCCACAACTTCCTAAGCTGTGGCTTTCTCTTCCAGACCGTCTTCCTCTATCAAATTCCGACAAATAGTTTTGCATTACCACTCAAAGGTAAGAGGAGTTGGGGGCAGCAAATCAAATAGATGAGCGGCTAAGGAAGCAAAGGAATAAGGAGTGTTGAGAAAATGAAAAAAGATTTAGCTAGAAAGCATAAGCGCAGTGGTAGGAGGCACAAATCTCCAAGGCAAAAAGCAAACAACACAAGAGCCTCTCTTTGCTTTGTCTCTCAAAACACCCTCTCCTTCTATTTCAGCGTTCTTTCGTTTCCTCCATCCCTCCCTGTTTTCCTGGAGTACTCTGTGTGTGCGTGCGCGCACATTTATTTGTGTGTGCACAAGAGGTTCCAAGGCATACTGCTGACACACACAATTATGCGACCGGCTCCCTCCCTCCCCTTCCTCCTGAGGCGGCGTATTAATATCAGCAGCGTTTAAGGTTAGCTCAGACTAATCAAACACAGCGAGCCAAAGCACTGAGCCTGGCCATCAGCTCGGTTCCCACAATGCAAAAGGCAAACTGCCATAGTGTAACCGTAGCAGCGTAAAGCCACAAGGGATGTAATAATCTTTCTCTTGTGGGTGCAATCAAAGCAAACACTGACCCACTGGTTACCACTGTGCCTGCGCACCACTGCCTTATGTGTGGCAGTGACTGATGGCCAACACAGTAAGCTGACCTGTTCTTTTTGGATACAGTGCAGACAAACATATTACTGCGTGATTACAGTAACAGAGAAGGAACACGGAAGAAAGACGAGAAGGGCAGCAAAGCCAAAAGGTCTGGGAGTCAGATTTGTGGTGGGTTTGAGTGAGATTCTGTATAGCAGGGTGTAGTTTTTATGTGAATGTACCAAATAAGTGCAAGAGAACACGGGGAAATATTCTGTCTCAGTGCTCAGTGTGTGGAATAATTTCATTTCAAATCAATAATAAATAAACATTATTTTTTATCTTACAACGTAGTTTGTTTATTGCAACCAAACAAACTGTTGCTATGCGGCACTTCAATACCATTATGGATGTTGATCTTAGTCTCGAGTGTTAATATTTAAAACCCGCGATGGTCACAGGTGTATGTTTATGGGGTATTTTACAGCAGCTATAAACGGGACACGTTTACAACACTGTCTTGTAAAGAGCATGTAATTTTGCCAACAAATTGTACAGTAAGCATGCTTTAAAAACTCCACCGCCTTTTGTGTGTAGGTGCTTCTTCGACCTTATGCGTTTATAATCACCCTGATTCGTGCCACTGACTGCACAGTCTGTTCGTTCTCTCGCAGAGAGCCCACGTACGCCTCCTTTTGGAAGAGTGGCGCGTTGTCGTTGACGTCCAATACGTTGACTCGGACCCTCCCCGTGGTCTCCTCCCCACCGCCGTCCTTCGCCAGCACAGTCAGCGTGAAGCGGCGCATTAACTCATAGTCAAGGCTGGCCTGCAGAACGACCCAGCCTGTCTCTTCGTCAATTGAAAACCTGCAAGAGAAAAGTGAGGTTAGAGGCCCATTTTTTTCCTCCCTGTGACTACAAGTGCACCGCACTAACTTTATTTCATAAGATTAATATGGCTAGCTCTGGCTGTAAGCACAGAAACCCCCAACACTGTCCCACGGACCACTCTCTACCACAGGAAATTTACATCTTTGGACTATAGCTCCAAAGGGGCCAATTAATTCTGGCAAGCAGCCCCAATGAAACTAGAAATCCAGAGAGTAGTTAGAAAATGACACAGCTCTGGGTGAGAGCCCAGTGGTCCCATGCAACTGGCACCCAAATCTTTTGTTTGTGAAAGGGAGCCAATCAGGAGAAAGCTGGCTTAAGAGATGGAGAAGGTAGCTAAAGACAGATTTTAAACTGTCATGCAAAGCTGCTCAAATATATATAATACAGAGTTGTGAGCAGGGAGGTCCCCGTATTGTGTTAAATAAATAATTAAATTATTTTGTTAAAGACAGAAAAATATACATATTATAGGAAGCCACAGTAATGGTGGTCTTTTAAAACACTGGCGATTATTAATGAGTGAATTATGTGAGTGTTAGTTTTTCTAGGTGTTTGTGGCCTGAAAAGAGCAGACGTTGAGATAAGCGCCAGACATTGTTGTAGCTCAGCTGTCTCTGGTGATGCTGTGTGCCAGAAACAGTGCGGTACAATTGTTAACAAGGGGCCAAATAAATGAAAAATTAATGTGTTTGTGTGTGTGTTTTTGTGTGTGTGGACTGATTGACTATGTGTAAGTGAGTGTGTGTGTGTAGCTGTGTCTTACTGGTCTGGCTCATCAGTGAAGTAGTACCGCACAATCCCAAAAGTGCCTGCATCTCCGTCTGTGGCCTAGACGGGAAAAAAACCCCCAAAAAACAAAAAGAAGACACACATTTAAAATCATGTTTATTTTTGTTTATTTGCTTCCCAGTAAAGTTTTACAGTATGTTCAGTTCCTGTCGTTTGTCGATTTTAATTTTTTATCCTGACTTTTTTTTTTTTTTTTGCTTCTCATCCACTTTAACTTTTGAGTCACTTTCAATTTCAAGCATCATTTGGCTAAACTATTTTCATGTGGAAAAAAAAGTTTTGTGCCATGTGTCTGTGTACCTTGATTTTCTGTGCTGTAGCCAATTAGGAAGGGAAGTTAATGTTGAACTTTTGCGACATGATAGCAAAGACACATTATAATCTTTTTTTTTCACAAACCAGCCATGAAATATTCATCCCATTCGAGACAATGTATCTGTTATGCTATTCCTCTGCATACATTTGTGCCTGTCTGTGTTGAAGTGTGGGGCAGCATGAGCTCACTTGTCATGACTGCACTTTGCTCCTTTTCCTAAATTTCTCACTCTAACAGCTGTCTATGACTCTCTGATAAAACATGAAAGCCATGCTTCACGCTCCAAAGGTGTTGATTGGATTAAGTCTGATGGGAGGAGTGATACATTTTCCTCACCCGCATGACCCGCAGTTGCCTTAAAAGCAACAACAATTGCTGTCATAAGTTTTGCAGATAAAAGGGGTGTCAGAAGAAATACCATAGAAAGAGCAACACTTTTAGAAATCTTGTGCTTAATGAAATGCCACATTAAAGCAATCTGTCTTTGAAAAAACACACACAAACACACACGCCTGCTTGTGTACATGTGAACTGGCGTTGTGTTGGCGCTGATGGATCGAGGCTGGAGAGGGTGTTGTAATAGAGTTTCACTTGAGTGCCTCTACAGTCAGTTGAAGGGCCAGACTCAAACGTGTCTGCAGCCTGCTCTGTCAACCACAGTGCTGGTCTCTGTGATTCAGTGATGCCCCGATACCGACCTTATTATGTGGACCTCTGCGTACACGTGTGTGTCCAGAGTGTGTGCTTTTTTTTTCTGGAACGCAGCTGTGACATGTCCTTGTGAGCGCGGATAGCTGCAGCTATCAATGTGTTTTCCACTTCCTTCTAAAAATTACCCTATGCTGTTTAGCTGAAGCTTGTAATTTCACAGAGCTTCGAGTACATTGTCCGGGATGGCAAATCGATGTTTCTTTTTAATGTCCGAACGGCCCTTTCTCAGTTGTCAAGTGTAATGGAGCACATCCTGCTGAACAAGTAGAGAGCGGGTTGCTAAATACAAACGGAGTGTTTGGAAATCCAGTCAGGTTCTAATGTTAACCTTTGAGTTTTCATCTATTGAGTCTGAATGACTTCATCATTTAATGCCGCTCAGCTGGCTGCCCCCCCCTTCTCCGTCTTTGCATTGCAGCCCATCCCTTCTCCACTATCTTCCCCTTTTGCCTGCTGTCTTTTCCTCACTTTCCTCCCTGCATCCGAGCGCCTTTCCACGTTCTCCCCTCTCCTGCACGTATCTCCCTTAGCACACCCTTGGCCCTCGGTGCCTCCCTCCCTCCCTTTGCTCCCAGGTGAGTGACAGGCCCATAAGTGCTCCAATGATAGTGGCAGGGGTGTTAGCGTGACAGCTATCGAGGCAGTGACAGGAGCCCGAGCCCAGCCTGGGAGCCAATGTCGCTTCTGCTGCTACAGCCGAACTGCTCTCGCTACGACAGACAGACAGACGGGGCAGAGCGAGAGACAGGCAGGGAGAAAGAGAAATGAAGAGAGGTAGACGGCATCCACTCCCGTCCAGTCATTCACCAGCCAAACAATCGCCATGGTCCAGTCACTTTGCCAACTGTATGTCAAAGACTTTCAACTTTAGCCACAGAAGGCCCTCAGCAGATGGACGGCAGAGACTGGTTGGCAGAGGGATTTTGCAGCCACTTAGCATCCTGGGAATCGGAATCATTGACACCAGTGTATTATGCACTTGCCCCTCGTTGCCATGGCAGCTTAAACTTCTTTCTTAGTCAGTGAGTTGGAGGTGATAGAAAAGTTGAGGTGGGGTGCACAGGGAGAGAGTGAGCGTAGGACTTAATGAGGAAAGAAATGACATGGAAATAAAGCTGGGCAATGTGCCTTACTAATGTGACTAAAATCCTAGCAGACAATTACAACCACCATTTAAAGTGCAGTGATGGTTCACGCGGATAAATAGTTTTCATGCTAATGGATTCATGAAACACGACTTTTTAGGGAGCCACTGAAATAACTGAAAAGAGAAAAACTCAAAAAGAAAAAAAATAAACTGTAAAGGAGGCATTCTGGTAAGTGAATGCTGTATACCAGGATAGCACAAAACACTTTAGGTATATCACTACTGTGTTCTACTACTGTGTACAGACTATGGTGCAGATGTACTGATAAATACCGGGCCTAGACTGTAACAGCGCTGAGGAGGAGGGCACTGAGGTATCAGAGTCAGCGTCCTGATCAGAGTCCAAACTAAATTGTTAAGAAGTTTCTGCACAAAGAGTCACAGTGCTGCTGATTGCCACTATAAACTCTGCAAACCCTAGGGTCCTCAGGCAGTAACTACAAAGAAGAAATTAGTTCTCAGTTGACCAGTTTGGTTAAATGATGTGTTTCTTCACATCACAGGGGCAGAGCCAGTAGGCAAACACAGTTCTGTGTGTGTGTGAGTACCTGTGTATTTACCTTTGTATTTTGTATTGGATGGTGTGTGTATGTGTGCGCATATGTTTGTGAACATGTGAGAAGGATACACATGGACAGAGATTCATAGGTTCATTCAGTTTTGAGGTAAAAATGCACCCAAACCATTTACAGTATAAACAGCTATTATTACACTCAATTGCTTTCAAGAGAAAACGGAAATGAGAGCTTCCCCTCAAGGATGGCTGAGAGACAAGGCTAGTCTGTGTGCGTATGTGTGTAAGTTAGGGCTGGGATTGAGGGAGTGGGGGTTTGCAGGGCCGTTTTCCTTAGCGAGGAAGCTGCACGGGCTTCTCTATCTTGAGTGAGCTAAAATTTGAATTGATTGGCTACCAAAATTGCTTTTTCTGCAGGAGCTTTGGAGGCATGGAAAAGGAAACCAATTACTGCCTGTCAAAGCATGCTGTCAAAATAGAGATGACCCCCAGTCCCAACACAGACAACCTCCTCTGTCTCAGTGTTGCACACCTAAACACAACCACAAAGAAGGGATAGCAAATGCGGACCCACATGTGCACATAAACAGTAAAAGTAAAGCTGTCCAGTCTGTGAGAGTGACTGTGGAGGAGGCGGTCCACAAGGTTATCGTCCTGAACTTGGGTTCCTCTGCTCTGGTTAGGTTTCCACACTACTGATTGTGGCAAAATCATAGATTAACATTCATAAATGCTACGTAAGAATTAAGGCCCAGAGAACAATCATTTAATCAAACACTCCTACATCATTGTGAATACTTAAATCAGTACACGTACAGTACGTTACATGTACAATGTTCTTTGTGAATAGATAGTGCTAAACAGTTTTTAGTGTAAATTTGTGCCTTTTGTTTTACACAATGAATATGGCGCTTACAAAGAAGACGAAGAAGAACCTCTTTTGCCATCTCACTATATACGATATATAATTAAAATAAAAAAAACATGATAATTTAACATCCATGTCTATTTTTCTATACATAAGTAAAGTGAAAAATGGACATAGTTATATATAGTTATAAATAAAAGACAGAGGTATTTTCAGGTCTGAGACGTAAAACCAGTACAAGGTGTCTTAAAACTGCACTTTTTTTTAAAATGACCAGCAGGTAGTGAGTCCTCTGGATGCAAAAAGGGTGGTATACAAGTCTTTGGTAAAACGGCCATCGGCTTCCTTGTCTGTAACCTCAGGCTCATTTATCACGTTGTTAGGCAGTAAGCGTGTAGTGTCGGTTTCACAGTCAGATCGCATGACGCATCCTTTTTCAAAATAAAATGGCGATGGTGAACCGTACTTCACTAACTGTCAAAATATACTTCATTAAAAGAATTCTGTCACAACAGCTCTGCTTGTTAATCATCAGCAACAAACTTACAAACCAGCAGTCAGAAGTGATTAAATTGCTTTGAAATACTGTATACACATGTCACATGGTAATATCTTTTGATATGGCCATGTGGTCCACATAATAAGTGAAGATGCCCTTGCTAAAGTTTAGGAACTCCACAATCAACATTACGCAACTTCTTTAATGAACAGATTAATGCAGGCTGTAGTGGTCTAAATTAATCAGATCTAATTGACATTAAAAGCTTAATTAAAGCCAGTGTTTCCTGTGTTGTGCATTGGTGGAGTAATGTAAGTGAACTTACACTACAAAGTTTGGGGAACACCGAATTGCTTTGTTCAACTTGAATGCTGCTTTCTGGAACTTGAAATTGTATAAGCAGAAGTAAATGGTTGGATGGATGGATGGATGGATGCAATGCTACTGCAGACAGGAGAAACAAAATCAAACTAAAGCTGTTTCATCATACATATAGGTGCATTATTAACATTATTTAATTTAAGTTGTTTTAAGTTACAGAACAATGTAATTCCATCCTTTAACAATCCTCTAAAGAACATGGATTTAAAAAAAATTGGCGAGCTGACTTAATTATTCTGTAAATTAACATCAACATAACTGACAGGGGACAAGTCAACAAGTCACATTCCAACCGAAGACGTGTGAAAAAGTGAATTAAATAATTTAAATGTAATTTAAATAATTTAATTAAATAAACAGGTGTTGGCTTTCACTCAGATCTCTGTTTCTATGCCCACAAACTAACATGGGACCGTATAGAGCCTGTCTGTGTCTCTGATCAATTCTACAGAGCAAGACTCAGCAGAGCAGCAGCCTGGAAAAAGCACAGAAACTCAGATACCACGTCGGGGCTATTCAGACATGTGTCCAATTAATGATCACATATCCTGAACATCTACTGACTCAACACTCCTGTGACTGAGCTAATGAGTGAATTTTATA